CGTACAATGACATTCAATCAAGCAAGTCTCCGAGCCTGACAAATCAATGCAACCTTTACGATAAACCTGGATCGCTCTGCGAGTCTCCATTAGGTCTCGAAATACTGTTTATTTCAGGAGGCACCACAAGGTGATCTACGCACTCAGGACGAGACATTGTAATAAATCGACATGTTTAACAGTCAACACGATCTGGGACTAGCTTAACATCGCGATCGTATAGCTTATCATTACAAGCATAGGTTGCTTTGTCGAGACTCCATTCTAGTCCGGACTGCGAAATGTGTATAAACTATGGAAGGGGTTGTCATTATCGTAATGTGGTCTTTGGTGCAAATTATTACGGAAGTAATTGTTTTCAAACTAAAGGAATTCGGAATAACGAGGTGCCACTAATGCTATACTTTACATCAGTTATACATTCATCGCTACTTGGCTACAATATTGCCAATGCGATGTAACATTTTAACTCACTCACTCAATCATACATTCATTTTATTTGTATATAGTGATTTTAGTGTTTTTATGTTCAAAATGTTGTGTTTATTTTGTTATTTTTTTTCATGAGTATATCCCCATGTGTCGTGAACGGAGGTGTCTATTGTGGTGCGTTGTTTCTTTCAATGAGTATGTACTTCATGTGTCGCGTGCGGCAGAGGAGACAGTTGTCTCATATGTTGTGTTGTTTCGTTCGATTAGTATATTCCCCATGACACGTACGGCGGAGGGTTGATGGGTCTGATTTGATCCGTTATGTGCTGTCTTCAGTATACTCCCCATGTGCCAGGTTCGGCGGAGGGTTGATGTTCCGTTACTTCTTTTCCTGAGTATAATCCCATTTATCAGGTACGGCGGAGGGTTGATGTTCCGTTACTTCTTTCCCTGAGTATACTCCCCACCTGTCAGGTACGGTGGATGGTTGATGTTCCGTTTCTTCTTTCCCTGAGTGTAATCCCATTTATCAGGTACGGCGGAGACTTGATGTTCCGTCACTTCTTTCCTTCCGAATCGTCATCAATATCATGTTTAGCGCTGTTCAGCAGTGGCCAGCGAGTCAGCGACATGAAAGAAACCATATAGGGACCAATGGGTCCAGAAGTGATTGATAGCTCTTAGCATCAACCCACGTACAATGACATTCAATCAAGCAAGTCTCCTTTGCCTGACAAATCAATGCAACCTTTACGATAAACCTGGACCGCTCTGCGAGTCTCCATTAGGGTCGCGAAATACTGTAATTTCAGGCGGCAATTCACAAAGCGATCTACGCACTTCAGACGCGAGAAATTGTAATAACAAAGCATGTTTAACAAAGTCACCACGTTCTGGGACTAGCTTTAACATCGTGATCGTATAGCTTATCTCTTTACAAACATAGGTTGCTTTGTCGAGACTCCATTCTAGAACTGGACTGAGAAATGTGTATAAACCATGGAAGGGTTGTCATTATCGTAATTTGGTCTTTGATGCAAATTATTACGGAAGTAATTGTTTTCAAACTAAAAGGAATTCGGAATAACGAGGTGCCACTAATGCTATATTCTTTACATCAGTTATACATTCATCGCTACTTCTTGGCTATTGCCAATGCGATGTAACATGTTAACTCACCTACTCAGTCATACATTCATTTTATTTGTATATAGTGTTTTAGTGGTTTTATGTTCAAAATGTTGTGTTTATTTTGTTTGTTTTTTCATGAGTATATCCCCATGTGTCGTGTGTGTAATGGAGGTGTCTATTGTTGTGCGTTGTTTCTCGATTAGTATATTCCCCATGACACGTACGGCGGAGGGTTGATGGGTCTGATGTGATCCGTTATGTGCTGTCTTCAGTATACTCCCCATGACACGTACGGCGGAGGGTTGATGGGTCTGATGTGATCCGTTATGTGCTGTCTTCAGTATATTCCCCATGACACGTACGGTGGAGGGTTGATGGGTCTGATGTGATCCGTTATGTGCTGTCTTCAGTATATTCCCCATGACACGTACGGGTGGAGGGTTGATGGGTCTGATGTGATCCGTTATGTGCTGTCTTCAGTATACTCCCCATGACACGTACGGCGGAGGGCTGATGGGTCTGATGTGATCCGTTAGGCTTGCTGTCTCTAGTATACTCCCCATGTGCCAGGTTCGGCGGAGGTTGATAGGTCTGATGTGATCCGTTATGTGCTGTCTTCAGTATACTCCCCATGTGACACATGTACGGCGGAGGTTGATGATGGGTCTGATGTGATCCGTTATGTGCCAGTCTTCAGTATACTCCCCATGACACGTACGGTGGAGGGTTGATGGGTCTGATGTGATCCGTTATGCGCCGTCTTCTGTATATTCCCATGACACGTAATACGGTGGAGGGTTGATGGGTCTGATGTGATCCGTTATGTGCTGGGCTCCTTCGCAGTATATTCCCTATGACACGTACGGCGGAGGGTTGATGGGTCTGATGTGATCCGTTATGTGCTGTCTTCAGTATACTCCCCATGTGCCAGGTACGGGGAGGGTTGATGTTCCGTTACTTCTTTCCCTGAGTATAACCACCATGTGCAAGGTACTGCGGAGTTTTTATGTTCCGTTACTTCTGACTTTATGTCAGGTACGGCGGAGCGGTGAAGAGTCCGATGCCGGAGGGAAGTTTACGAGTCCTCCTGAACCGCCTGACGTGTCACGGCAACGAGACGAACCTGGCCCAGTGCCCGGGCTACTGGATGAGACACAGTTATGACTGTGGAGTGTTCCCTCCTACCACCGCTGCTATAGACTGCTCAGGTAACCAAGCCACCCGCTGACAGTATATGTAGGCCTTGTTCCATCATGGGATTTCAGGGGCGGTGGTTAAAACATTCGCTCGTCGCGCCGAAGTCCCGCGTACAATGTGTGAAGCCAATTTCTGGTGTCCCTCGCTGTTGGAATTTTGCTAAAAGAAGCGTAAACTCCACTCACTCACCTCCTCCTCACTCACTCACTCACTCACCCACCGACCACTCACCTCACCACTCACTCACTCACCCACCCACCCACTCACTTCACTCACTCACTCACTCACTCACTCACTCACTCACTTACTCACTCACGCACTCACTCACTCACTCACTCTTCACTCACTCACTCAAATGTGATTTCAGCTATCAGCGGTAATACAGCCTTCACATTCGAAAGGTAAATGCTGCCAAATATTCAAAGCAACGCGATTTCGACAATTCGATCAAATTTACATCCCTTAGCCTTTCTAGGAGCTGGCAGGCCGTGATATAACTGTTCGGTGGAATATATATAAGTCCGACTCTGATCACACAACAAACTACATACACTCTTGCCAAGGACTCCATCATCCATACATGCCTGCCTTGGTTCCAGGTGGCATCAAAGTCCAGCTGACTGGTGGCACCAAGCCTCAGGAAGGTCTTGTGGAGATTCTACAATCTGGATCGTGGGCGGCCGTGGAAAACAGCTCCGTACAGACTGAAGAAGCCTCTGGCCCTGTGTGCCTCTGTTGGATACCCAGTGAGGACTCACCGTTTTGGCACCTGGATTTTGTTAGAGAAAATGGTTTTCGGATAACTTATCTCGACATGTATTTGCTTCACTTAAAGGCGAAGGGGCGGTGGGGGTATCCTAGTGGTTTAAGCGTTCGCTCGTCACACCGAAGACCCGGGTTCAAATCCCACATAGATACAATGTGTGAAACCCATTTCTGGTGTCCCCGCATGATATTGCTGGAATATATAGCTATACTCACTCAATCACTCTTAAAGGCAAAGTGACCGCCTCCGTGGTGTAGTGGTTAGAGCGTCCGCCCGGAGAGCGGAAGGTCGCGGGTTCGATCCCCAACCGCGTCATACCAAAAGACGTTAAAATATGGTACTTGTTGGTCCCTGCCTGGCGCTCGGCATTAATGGGTACAACAAGGACTGGTCGGCTCAGAGTATAATGTGTCTGAGTGGGGTATTCATGCTTCACTGCGGCATGGTATCTCAGTGGGCTAGCACTATAAATCCAGCTTAAGTCTGGGCTAGTAAACTCTGTCAAAAAAGAAACGCAACCCTGTATTTTAGAGATTTTGATCTGAAGTTTTAGGACGACACGGCATTTTTATTATTTAAGACAGAAGTCTGAAATTTGGCAGAATAATAACCCAGATGGGCATGTTCAAAATTGTCATTTCAAAAGTCATCTCACAGACACCAGTTTGTCACCAGGGGCGTCTTTCTCAGTAGCTCGTATGAGCACCACGCGCTGCAATCACTGCACGGCATCTCCTTGGACAAGAACGGATAAGACGCCGGATTCTTTCCTGGGGAATGGCTCTCCCTCCTCCTGCAGTGCAACGTCGAGCTGTTGCAGCGTCTGTGGCGGCGGCTGACGTTGACGTACGCGTCGATCCAGAGTATCCCACAGGTGTTCAATAGGGTTGAGGTCTGGTGGATTTAGAGGGTCATGGCACGACATTGACGTTGGAATTCTGCAGAAAGTTCATTTGTTGCACGTGCAGTATGAGGCCGGGCGTTGTCCCGTTGACAAATCTGTGTCTGTTGGTCAATAATCGGGAGAAGGTGAAGCTCTAACACGTGGTTGATGTAACGTTGGGCTGTCAGGTTCCCTGGAACGATCACCAAGTCTGATTTCTGGTTGTATGAGATGGTTCCCCAAACCATGACGCTTTCTCCGCCAAATCTGTCCACCTGTCGGACGCAGATGGGCGCAAAACGTTTATGACGTCTCCTATACAGACGCTGTCTTCCGTCGTGACGTTGCAAAAAGAAAACGTGATTCATCAGAAAACCAGATTCGCCTCCAGTTTTGTAAAGTCCGTATCCTTACGTTTGTTGCACCACCTGGAGTCGTCGGCGTCGATGTAGGGGCGTAGTACAGGTCCAACAACTGGTCTGCAGGCACGTAAACCCGCTTCTTTCAGACGGTTCCTAATCGTTTGAGCTGACACTCTCCTCAAACCTGGTATTTGTGTGGCAGTCACGGTTGGTAGGGCATGCCGATATGTCAGGTACGGCGGAGCGGTGAAGAGTCCGATGCCGGAGGGAAGTTTACGAGTCCTCCTGAACCGCCTGACGTGTCACGGCAACGAGACGAACCTGGCCCAGTGCCCGGGCTACTGGATGAGACACAGTTATGACTGTGGAGTGTTCCCTCCTACCACCGCTGCTATAGACTGCTCAGGTAACCAAGCCACCCACTGACAGTATATGTAGGCCTTGTTCCATCATGGGATTTCAGGGGCGGTGGTTAAAACATTCGCTCGTCGCGCCGAAGTCCCGCGTACAATGTGTGAAGCCAATTTCTGGTGTCCCTCGCTGTTGGAATTTTGCTAAAAGAAGCGTAAAACACTCACTCACTCACTCACTCACTCACTCACTCACTCACTCACGCACTCACGCACGCACGCACGCACGCACGCACGCACGCACGCACGCTCACTCACTCACTCACTCACTCACTCACTCACTCACTCAAATGTGATTTCAGCTATCAGCGGTAATACAGCCTTCACATTCGAAAGGTAAATGCTGCCAAATATTCAAAGCAACGCGATTTCGACAATTCGATCAAATTTACATCCCTTAGCCTTTCTAGGAGCTGACAGGCCGTGATATAACTGTTCTGTGGAATGTTTAGTCCGACTCTGATCACACTTACAACAAACTACATACACTCTTGCCAAGGACTCCATCATCCATACATGCATGCCTTGGTTCCAGGTGGCATCAAAGTCCAGCTGACTGGTGGCACCAAGCCTCAGGAAGGTCTTGTGGAGATTCTACAATCTGGATCGTGGGCGGCCGTGGAAAACAGCTCCGTTCAGACCGAAGAAGCCTCTGCCCTGTGTGCTTCTGTTGGATACCAGTGAGGACACACCGTTTTGGCACCTGGGTTTTGTTAGAGAAAATGGTTTTTCGGATAACTTATCTCGACATGTATTTGCTTCTCTTGAAGGCGAAGGGGCGGTGGGGTATCGTAGTGGTTTAGGCGTTCGCTCGTCACACCGAAGACCCGGGTTCATTTCGCAACATATATACAATGCGTGAAACCCATTTCTGGTGTCCCCCGCATAATATTGCTGGAATATATAGCTATACTCCACTCACCACTCTTAAAGGCAAAGTGACCGCCTCCGTGGTGTAGTGGTCAGAGCGTCCGCCCCAGCTTAAGTCTGGGCTAGTACAAGCAGCCACACATACACATACACACGCATGCACTCGTCATATGAGCGAAAAATATTCTCAAGCACGACGTAAAACCCAATTTCACCTTAAAGGCAAAGTAGGAAACGCATTTTTGTAAACGACAATACCAGAGAATAAGAAATCTCCATTAACTACCGAAACATATTCTTTTGGGTTAAAGTGATGGAAATTCTGTGAATAAAGCAATGTATAACAGATTGGTACATACAGATGACGCATATTTCAGGAACACCAAGCCACAGGTGTTGCCTGGCAACACGTTCGGGAGAGGCACCAACAGAACCATCTCCACGTTATCGTGCTCAGGAGCGAGGCAGCACGTAGCACAGTGTACCATCTCCGCTCCAGTCGTCAACACCAAGTCCGTCCATGCCGCAATACGGTGTTTCAGTGAGTTAGGGTTTTTATCAGATTCCTTTAGGGGCAAGCAATCTGTGCTCAGAGGGACACGGGTGGTCGACTTACTTGTGGAAAGGGACGGTGGTGTAGCCTGGTGGTGAAAGAGTTCGCGAAAATTCGGGTTCGATTCCTCACATGGGTACAATGTGTGAAGATCATTTCTGGTGTTCCTGCATTAAATTACTGGAATGTTACTGAGTAATTGAATAAACACCAGGCACAAGCATATATCAACCCACAAGAACACATGCACACTAACGCACACATACACATATCATGTGTGTAGAACTTTATTGATCATACTCCTAAGGGGGCGGTGGGGTAGCCTTGTGGTTAAAGCGTTAGCTCGTCACGCCGAATACCTGGACTCGATTCCCCACATGGGTACTATGTGTGAAGCATATTTCTGGTGCCCCAAGCGGCGTAAAACTAAACTCACTCATACTAGTGGTTAAAGCGTTCGCTCGTCACGCCGACTACTCCTTGGGTTCCACTGTGTTCGTTTCTTCCCAGGTTGCGGAGACACCTACACATCGGAGTCGGGCAGCATTCCTTCTCCCGGGTACCCAGGCAGCGCCTCCGACAACACTGACTGTCTGTACCGCATCAGCCCCAAGGGTCCAGCTCAGCGCTACAAGCTCTGGTTTACAAATTTCAAACTGTCGGCCAATGACCTGATAGAGGTACAGTACAGACACATCCGTGAAGATCCGGGTTAGAATTGGTCTTCAACAACCCATGCTTGTCGTAAGACGCGACTAACGGGATCGGGTGGTCAGGCATGTAGGCCCGGGTGATGCATTAATCACTGTGTTCCAGACACGATTATTTATAGACCCCGTCATACAACTGCACAATTGCTGAGTGCAGCGTTAAACAACAAACGAGCGGTGGGGTAGCCTAAACAACAAACCCGGGTTCGAAACATGGGTACAATGTAGGAAGCAAGCGACATGTCGGACCTTCGCTTATACTATTCTTAAAAAAGAATTATCATCCTTTTCATATAAACAACTGTCCCTCATCCATCTTGGGTTTGTTGCACAGATCAAGGAAGATCCCTTGTCATCGCCTGTTGGCGTCTACAAAGGCGGCGCCGTGCCGGGAGTACATCTCTTCAACAAGGACATCTACATCAGGTTCAAGTCCCAGTGTTGTGGGGCAAGGACGTTTTACATCAGATGGGAAGGTAAGGACATAACTTTATATACTCTGGGACATCGTTCCTTTTAGAAACGCAGCAATGAACAATCTCACCGGCTCAGGATATGTATGCAATATGCGGAGGTATTAATATAGTTAATATTCATGAATTATAAAGAATGTTGGATGTAGCATATAACCCTAGCGAGGTGGTTGAATACAAAAGTAAAAATGATTGTAACAATAATCCAAAGGCGCAAATTAGAAGAGGGACGGGTTTTCCATTGTGAATGCAGCCTTTCTGACAATGAGGGCATACAGAAGGCAGAAATTTTGGGGAGTCTTCATATGTTTCGGAAAATTCTTGGTGGCTTCGAAGAGATCCTGTAAATATCTGTTCGGTGTCTGGGTTGTGTATAGAGAAGGCAAAAGTACTGAAGCTGGTGATAAGGCTCATAATATTAATGAACTGACGTACAAATGAAACTACACACCCTGTGTTTTGTCAGCACGTACCCTACGTTTGTAACCCGTAAGTCACAATAAAAACACTTTCAAAAATATTTACGTCGTTTCTAGGAATGTCATCCCAAACCACCAGGTGTATACTTTCTTTTTTACGTCAGTTTATGTTCCTGTCTCCTCAACCAGTGTTAAGTTGACATTTGCGGAAAAAACTATTGCATTTGTGTATATTTTTCCACGACGTCACTCGATTAATCTATCAATTCAATCCTGCAGCTGTGACCTTGGAGAGCACGGTGTCCTTGACCTGCTCCGACGCCGCGATGAACATCAAGGTCAACATCACGCAACTAAGATGGCTGTACCCTGATACAAATCCCGCCTACATCTCGCTGGTTAACGAGGGCTGCACGGGATCTTACGCTGGAGACACTTGGAGCATCAATAACCCCCATTCCCAGTGCTACACCAACAGAGCGGTAAGTGGTGAGGAATAATGAACGGGGAAAGCGTGGTTGTATTGGTCTGAAGCAGAATAGGATCAGAGCTATGAGGAATTACTGTCTTTCCGTAAACTAAAGGCATTATCAAAGTTTCGAGCAGGTTATTCTCCATATTATCCTTGTCTTTACAAGAAAATGCACAATACAAATAACAAAGAAACGTTATTGACGTCAACATGACGTCACACATTGATAACATCACATTGTCAATGTGTGACGTCATGAACAATGTATGACGTAATATCGTACTATTCATAACAAAGAAGCAATATATACTCATATCGCTCTATCACATAAATCAAAGTTGTACATTGAAAATGTCTAAATAACTGACACTTATAAATACTTGATTTCTCTCTAACTAGAGGTAATATTACGCTGTAATATTTATGCCGCGCATAACTAATTAACGGTAACAGGTACAATTAGCAAAGGGAGAATACTCTCCAGGTTTTCCTTCGCTGTGCCAGTTAACTGAAGCCAGGTGTCAAATCGTTGAATTCGAATTATAATTATTATATTAGAAACATAAAGGTTCGCACCAGTGCCAACTCTTAAAGATTTTTAATAGGAAGTATTTTTTTCACGCAGGTCTCCCATTTGAAATAAGGACACGGGACGTGTATATATGAGGATGAGTTGTATTTCTGCAGATTGACCCGACGTACGTGACGTACCGTAACGCCCTGATCTACAAGGAGATTGGTAGTGGTCCCATCGTCAGGGAACATCGATGGAGGGTGGACATGGAGTGTGCCTTTGTCAGGGAGAGAAAGGTCAGTTTTCCTTCCTTCGTCCTTCCCCCCCCCCCCTCTCTGTCTCTTTCCCCTCTCTCTCCCTCTCCCTCCTTCTCTTTCTCCCTCCCTCTCTCTCTGTGGTGTGCTTTGTGTTCTTGGTGCAATGAGATAGAACCGTTGAAAAATATTAGTTGTGACTTCTAAATCTCTTCTCTTCTCTTCGATTCCTCCAGATCAGCCAGCAGTACAGCGTCAACAACGAGTTCAACTACCTCCGGAATCTGTCATCTGATTACTCGGCCGAAATCCACCTGTACAACGACTCCACGCTCAGCACCGAGATGAGGTTTGATCCAATCAGAGCCAAGCTTGGAGATGACCTTTACGTCAAGGTCAACCTGAAGGGCAACTGGAACGTCTCTATGAGGTTACAGAACTGTGTCGGCAAACCAGATCCAAATTCAACTATAACATACGCATTGGTGCGTTATGGGTAAGTTGAAGATCTCAATGTTTCGTCAGATCTTGCAACACTATAGATTACATGAAGATGAGAAACTACTTTCAAAGTGATTTATGAAGAAGTTGTAGAAGAAAACGCCAACAAGTCACTAAAATACAGAAGTCCGTACCCATAGAAAGTGTCATAACTACCTGGGTAAACGATGAAGTGTTGTCCGATATGGCTCGCTGACACTGACCAGGAAGTTAAAAAGGCTAACATTTAAAGTTTAAACTTTTTGTACAGTAAATTCACCTGTAGTGTAGTAAGACTCCAAGTGGAAAAGTTTTGTCGAGGAAGTCATTTCCACATTACATGGTGGTGACGACTTTCATTACATGTTTGTAAAAGTCAAAATCAATTTCTGAATATTTTGCCAATGTTTCACAAAGGGTCCCTTTGTCGCTACTTCAACGCTGATTGGGGCGGTAGGGTAGCTGTAGTGGTTCAAGACGTTGGCTCGTCACGCCGAAGACACGGGTTCGATTCCCCACATGGGCACAATGTGTTAAGCCCATTTCTGGTGTCCCCCTCCGTGATATAGCTGGAATATTGCTAAAAGCGGCGTGAAACTAAACTCAGTCAGTCAAGGCTGATTCTGCCAAACACTGGATGTTGTACTTTGCAGGTGCTCGTCGGACAAGGAAACTCACGTCGTGTTCGAGGACCCTACCACCACACTGTTCCACTTCAAGGCATTTGAGTTCTACGCCGGGTACAGCACAGTCTATCTCTCCTGTGACGTCAAATTCTGTACACCAGGTGACGTCACTAGCGCGTGCAACTGGAAGTGCAACACCCTGGTCAGCAAACGCCACATCTCCAACATGGTGGGCACGGACTATACCGTGTCAAAACGGCTTCAGATTGTGTGAAATTGGCTCTCATTTTCAGTACGTGAAATAAAGATACGATAAAAGCTATCCAGGGTTCAGGAATGTTTGTGGTGCACGTTTACAGGTGCCACAGGGAATATATTTACTGTTGTACAATAACTGCTCTTGGCAGGAAAACTTAAACAGAATGTGATATGATTAATATCTTATATTCTTTACCCACAATTGAGAAAACAAATCAATATTTTAAAATCGAAGAAGATCAGTCCCAGATAATGAACAGTCACGAGCATCAGCAAAAACAGATTTCAATATTCGAAGAATAGCAAGTATTGGTAAGACAAGCAATTGTTGCAGACGGGATTTGGTGCTTGACAAAATCAGTACCGATATCCATAGACAATGAACAAACACGTAATCTAATCATAAACACTTTAAAACAGCCCTATCTTATAAACTGGGTGAGTGGGATTAATTGTACGCCGCTTTTAGCAATATTCTTTGAAATTGTTTACTTCCACTGATTATTATGATTGTTATGATACTGTAGTATCATCCTCTGTGCAGTGCCCCCTGGTGGTCAGGCGCGCCGACTTGGTTGACACATGTCATCGGTTCCTAAACGCGTAGATCGATGCTTATGCTGTTGATCACTGGCTTTCTGGTCCAGACTCAATTATTTGCAGACCGCCGCCATATAGCTGGAATATTGCTGAATGCGGCGTAAAACTAAACTCCGGTGCTTCTGAAACACAACAGGGCGTTGGTGGAGCATAATGGTTACAGCGGGTTGGGGGTTCTATGCAATAGCCCCAGGCTGATCGTGACTGTTCCAGAACCCAACCAAATACGAAGTCATGCTCGTACCAGTGGGCTGCTCCCATCCACTGTGGAATCGGACTACCTGATAGTCGATCATCAAAACTGTACGTAGGTAGGGTACGTTGAGGGCCTGATTTTAGTTAAAAAAACTCGAATCGAGTTGCTTTGTGGAGACGATACTGGTGAGACTGGGTTGACCTGATGAGGTGAGGTGAGGTGAGGTGAGGTGAGGTGAGGTGAGGTGAGGTGAGGTGAGGTGAAATGGGGTTTAACGTCGCAATCAAGAATATTTCGCTTATATGGCGATGTGCATGTGTGTGTATGTGTGGCTGCTTGTACTAGTCCAGACTTAAGCTGGTTTTATAGTGCTAGCTCACTGAGATACCATGCCGCAGTGAAGCATGAATACCCAACTCAGACACATTATATTGACCCGAGCCGACCAGTCCTTGTTGTACCACAAGTACCCTACTTTAACGTCTTTTAGAATGAAGCGGCCGGGGATCGAACCCGCGACATTCCGCTCTCCAGGCGGAGGCTCTAACCACTACACCACGGAGGCGGTCCGTTAACCTGATGACATCATAATAATTAATTATGAATTAATAACGCGCCTTTTCCACGTACAAGGCACATGCTCAAAGCGCTAACAGGCAATCTGATTATTATTACCCCGGATAACCCAAGCTGCCTGCGAGGCGCTGGAAGGTTATTAGTCATGACTTATCCCACCGGGTACCCACATAAAACATCGTTATAGATAGGACACGCACACTCACAATACAATGCTATCAAATAGAATACACATTGGGATGAAACAACCATGAAGGCGTGCGTGTCTGTTTAACAAAGATTAGTTGCCAACAACGGTAAAGTCTCCAAGATATTGATCTGATCAAAGATTCCTAGTCTCAACACTGCTATACATTATCTATATTTCGGAAAACAACAGACTCGATTTTCACCACACCCTTGCCTTACACCTGACAATACAGTCGTGCTCCATACACTGCAGGAAGTGTGTACACAGTGACGCAGAGTTGGAGTGAGACCGATATCATATCATGACCTGGTTACCGTGACATGCAAAACCTTTTTTTGCAGCGTCATTAATATCGCTTCGGCATATGACCACGTACATCGAGTGAGTGAATGAGTGAGTGAGTGAGTAAGTGGGTGGGTGGGTGAGAGAGTAGGTGTGTTGGGGTGGGTGTGTGGGTGAGTGAGTTGGTGTGTGTGTGTGTGTGGGGTGGGTGAGTGGTGGTGGTGGGTGAGTGAGTGAGTGGGTTTGAGTAAGTGAGTGGTATACCTAGAGAATACCGGATACCTACCAGCCATATTGTTTAGTGTCACGTCACCCTAACCCTAACCCAAAACCTTGTGTCACGTCACCCTAACCCTAAAGCTAACCCTAACCCCTAACCCTAACCCTTAACCTTACACTAACCAAAAGTAAACTCCCGTGCTTTCAAAGATGGCGGAAGGTATGCGGTATTCTGTAATCTTACCGAGTGAGTGAGTAGGTGGGTGAGTGAGTGAGTAAGTAGGAGGGCGAGTGAGTGAGTGAGTGGGTGGATGGTGTGTGAGTGAGTGAGCCAGCCCGAAGTGTAAGGGGTATTTGATATCTATGTCTTCGTTGTTCAACACCGCTTAAGTAATCGCGTCCTCGTTAAACAACAACAAACAAACAAACAGCTTACACTTACTAAGTTAGATGTCTCACTCTAAGAGTATGGGTTCGAATCCCGGATGGGTCGTTAGGTTACGCTTGGTGAATTGGTTGAAAGCCTGTGATTAATTCCATCGTCGCAAATCACGACATTGTCTGGCTGAAACTTCATTATTTACAGGCGCCTCCATAGGTGAACCATTGGCTAGATGACATTTATCACACCCCATTTATCGCGACGTCACCTGGAATCTACTTTAAATTACCAGCTTTCTGACCTTTCTGGATGACGTCACAATCTCAGTCTGAAGTGGACTACAGCTGCGTTCTAAAACCTTGTTAACCCATATGTTATATGTGCTCCCATACGATGCCAATAAGCACCGAGCCTGGCAACCTTATTTATTTAGTCACTTCGTATGACATACATACATACAAGTCACTTAATTTACAGTGTATATGTAGCTAAACAGTCAATAAATTTGTTCGTGTCCCTGAACACCGAAGTATTACGACGACGTATAAAAAGTTATTTCATTTGGTGGTGTGGTGAGGTAGCCCAGTTGTTTAGGCGTTCGTTCGTCACGCGGAAAACTCGGGTTCGATTCTCCACATTTCTGGTGTTCCCGCCGTGATATTGCTGGAATATTGCTAAAAGCGGCGTAAAACCATACTCACTCTATTGCATTTGGTACCATTGAGGTATGTTTAAACCTGTATTTTTGCATTGAGACGCCCTTGGCATCACTGTTTATTATTGTGTTATAACTATTGCCATATGGAACAGAGATAATAATGACTGTATATTTAATGTGTGTTCCAGGGATTCGTGACCCGTGAAGGTCCGGGTTAGAATTGGTCTTCAGCAACCCATGCTTGTCGTAAGAGGCGACTAACGGGATCTGGTTGTATGGCTTGCTGACTTGGTTGACACATGTCATCGTGACCCAGTTGCGTAGATCGATGCTCATGATGTCGATCGCAGGATTGTCTGGTCCAGACTCGATTATTTAGAGACTGCCGCCATATGGCTGGAATATTGCTGACTAAACTAAACTCACTCCAGGGATTCGCGTGACAGGCGATGGGTACCCAGTGTCACATTTTCTGTGAAAAATGTGAAAAGGTAAATTCGTCTGTACATACTAAAATACAGGCGATGTTACTAACTCATAAACGGTAGCTCCCAATATATCGCAATATGTATCGGAATACGAGAGAACCAGAAATGAATTGCAATACAATGTATTTACCTACACACAACCCTCGTAGTTGGGGTGATGGCTGTATCAACGGGTGGACAAGCAGCATAGTGGACTCTGCTGCAAACAAGCAGTGGTTTAACTAATACACAGTTCAAAGCAAAATCATGATGATACTAGGAGAGTACTCGGGATCAGATTAGTATGATGCTGTCCTTTCATCCTCTTGTGCAGTACTCCTGCCCTTCAGGGGGGTCTGAAACACATCAGTGTGATTCATTATTTCTCTGGCTGCAGTTCACAAACTTTCCACAACAACACAACAGGAGAGACACGAGCGAGGCTGATTTTATCTGTAATCAGTTTGTCAGTTTAAATATAAATAAAATAAAAATCAAGTTATTATTTATATAGCGCCTGTTCCAACAAACTGCTCAGAGGCCCTCAGACGAATGCCGTGCCAAAGCATTCGCTTGAACTGGTCGCGTTCGCGTATGTTCTGGATGTTGTTTGGGAGATTGTTTTATAATGTGGATCCTTCTTTGGAAAATGATCAGTCACCATGGGTCTTTCTATTTGTGTGTGATATCTCCAATATTCGTGATGTTCGTTTATGGTATGTACGTACGACTATGAACTTATTCATAAGAACATATCATTATGAACATACCAGTATGAACATATCCAAGGTGTTTGAAGTAGAGAATTACTCGGTTGCCATCTGAACCCGGGCATCAAAAGACTCAAACTCTGACCCTACACTTATCATAAATATTACCTTTAGAAATCATAGGTAGAATCCTGTTGATGAAGACACATTCGTGGTGGACTACCCCGTGTCCTGCTGCTAAGTTGCTGCCCACGTCGAGGGCCATGTAGGAGAGATCAGTGTTGTCAGAGGCTGGCCAGTTCACCTTGACGGGGACAGGAGTGTTAGGGTTGCTGTATAAAGATATGAAAGCTTCAAGAAAACAATACAAATCGATCTGTTTGGAAGTGGGAATCACTCTACCTTGACTGAAATTGCAAGTTTAGGGTCACTTCAAAGGGTTTTGGGTATTTCAACAAGATACAGACGGATGTGTTTGTTTTGATTTGACCAGGGCGGTATCGTTTTAACAATATTTCAGCAATAACACGGAGGGGTAATATGAAAATTGTTTCAGTTGTTGAATAGAACCAAATTTAAAACCTCCACGGAACCCCGTAGATCCACCACATATATGTCATTCAGCAGACAAATACCATTATGTTTTTAGGACTACGATGTTTTTAGGATTACAATGTTTCAAGTAGCACATTGATTCAACTGAGCGAGAGAATGGGAATTAATTTCAATTGACGTGATATTGAGTCCCATCACGGATAGACATATACGAACACAATACCATGTCGACGGTGGGATCATTTACACATATATTCATTTGTTTACGAAACTGTTTATGACCTGTTTGGAATCCGTGTCAGAATCATTCCAAGGTCCCTCACTCTATCACTCACTTACTCACCCAATCACTCACTCACACTCTCAATTCCATTCACTTACTCACCCGGACTTGGCAAAGTTGGTCCAATAGGTCATGATGGTCCTGCTGAGTTCCATCTCCTCCTCTGTACATCCCAGAGACTTTTCCAGGACCAAACCAAACACAAAGTCAAGCTCGTACCAGTGGGCTGCTCCTATCCACTGTGGATACGGACTAATTGATAGTCGATGATTAAAACTGTACACGTAGGTAGGGTTAGCAGGAGTGTACAACCTGTCAAACTCAAGATGAGGACATTTTATTCCCTTATCCGATTTCAAGCGAGACATGACATCAAAATAGTCCATGTCCTTTAGAGGGGCTTCCTGACTTTCGTAAAATAGACGAAGAGGCTCCTGGACTTTATCTATTGTTAAAAGGTCAGTGGAAAGACTATCATATTCTTGTTGACTTAAAATAATTGTTTCCGGAAATGTAGAGATGTTTCTCATCCGCTTCAACATAACAGCCGAAAACACCGTTGTCTCATCTTTTGTAAACCCATGCAATATACTGGTCTGCTTGATGGAACCAGTGGACAGAAGAGTTTGGGGGTCATCGGGGAGGAAGTACCCATCCACAACTGGAACAAATGCAAGTCCTTCGCCAAGTAAACTGAGTTGAATGTCTGCCATAGTTTCAGCATCCACAGTCTTCAAGCAGTCATATATCTCTGTATCGGTCGAAGATGAAGGGCATTCAAGGAGATCAGCAAATCTCTTCATTTTCTGTTTTGCTGTTTTGGGCACGATGTAAGCCCATGAGCAAGTAAAGGTCCCACTCTGCATGATGGCTCTGTCAAACAGGTCACGTGACAGAGGTGACACCAGGTGGTCACTCACGCTGACACCTCCAGCACTTTCTCCAAATATGGTCACCCGAGATGGATCGCCGCCAAAGTTGGCAATATTGTCTTTCACCCACTGTAAGGCAAGTCGTTGATCCATCAAGCCCATGTTGCCAGGGATGGTATCTGGACCAAGATAGCTGAACCCTAAAGGTCCTAATCTGTAATTCATTGATACAACGATAACGTCATTCTCTGCTGCAAGGTATTTTCCTTCATACAGTGGCAGTCTCGTCGACCCGAGGTAAAAAGCTCCACCGTAGATCCAAACCATCACTGCCAGATTGCCACCATTGTCTGATGGCGCCCACACTGTAAGATGAAGGCAGTCTTCGCTGTAATCATCAGGGGTCTGTCTTTGGGTCTCAACAGCTTTAAACACATGTTTTGGTTGTATGCAAGATGGCGTCGGATTTTGCGCATCCCTAACTTCCGGTCCCCATGACTCTGAAGGCTGAGGATGCTTGAAGCGAAGATAGCCTACAGGAGGCTTGGCATATGGGATTCCATAGAATACGTCAAGGGACTTTCCCAACACTGACAGTCGTTGTCCAAAAAGTGGGCCGTTCAGAGTTGACACTTTCTGTGTTTTCACAATATGTAACACCGTCCATAAGATAATGAGTTCCAGTCTCATTCTTGTCCACATTCTGAAAGTACGATGGACATTTTGTAATCAAAGTTTGGTCTGCTTATATTCCTGTTCACGTCCCAAGACGTGGGAGTCTGTGGACTGACTGACTGACTGAGTTTAGTTTTACGCCGCTTTTAGCAATATTCCAGCAATATCACGGAGGGGGACACCAGAAATGGGCTTCACACATTGTGCCCATGTGGGGAATCGAACCCGGGTCTTCGGCGTGACGAGCGAACGCTTTAACCGCTACGATTATTGGCATGAGTATATAAGGATGTCAGTAATAAGGATATACATATGACGCGTATAGTTTTGTAATAGTAATGTGCATATTTATAATGCTCAAATGCCCGAAGTGTAATGTCACGGTTAGTGTAAGTAACACATGAACATGCATTCTAATTCAACTAAGTATGAAACACGAGTTCTGATTGGTCAATGCTATAAATTTCCGACCGTATAATCAGCATATACGGTCGCAATTTGAAAACCGATTCACCAAAACCTTTAAATGTATCCCTACACTTTTGGGGTAACGCTGCTTTGCAGGACATTGTCATTTGCAGAAGCCATAGGTCAATTAACTGCCCTATCCAGCTAAAATGGGTGGAATTTGTGTTAAAAACGACACAATAGTATCATAAATTTAATTTTAAGTTCAAACAACTTACTCGCAACGGGATGTTGACCCAACATTGTTAGATCATGAAACAAGATTATGACGTCATTATGGAGCGTGACGTCACCTGCTGTGACGTCATTTGACAACAGAACTGATAATGGCCCGTAGTTAAGGAATCAGCGGGCCGCTCGTTTCTGTAACTAGAGGGCGATTTCATCATAATTCCTTCCATTTTATCTATAATACTATGATCTATTGTCAGATTTAGTCTGTGTGCACATAATAAACGTGTGTAGTTTGAAAAGGGAACTACTTTTTCTGGCGATGGTGTAAGTTCAAGGAGTGATATGATTAACCTTTGACCTAGAGGAACTTTGACCTGGTTTAAATAATGAATTTCTTTCACGAAAAAACAGCGTAAAACGAGTTGAATTAGAATGGGGATAACTGTACTGTGTTTGACGAATTGGGGACGTATACCGGTGGTTATATAGCCGCAAATTTAACGTTATAGCGCAAATTTAACGTTATATCGGCTCCGCTTGCGCGTCGCCGATATAACTAAATTTGCGGCTATATAACCACCGGTATACGTCCCCAATTCGTCAAACACAGTACAGTTATCCCCTAATTATAAATAGCAATGAGCATATAAATATTGTGCCAATCTGTTATATTCTACACTTTGGTTATTACCCCACGCAATGGTTCAATTGACCCTCGGTTTTCATCATTGGGCTTCCTTGCGAGTGCACAACCCCGATTGTACATAAGGCTCTGGAGTGTTAACCATACAACGATCTCATCCCACCGGGTACCCATTAACTGTGTGTGAATGTTATTGTCTACAATTACATCACTGCTGTGCATGGTTTTCTTCATAATTTCTAAATGCCTCTCAAGAAGTTTAACCTAGGAGTACATTACCCTGACGTGCTGTGAGACGCTGGTAGGTTAACAGTCACATCACCATCTCATCCTACCAGGTACCCATTCACTGCTGTGCATGACGTTCTTCATAATTTCTAAATGCCTCTCAAGAAGTTTAACCTAGGAGTACATAACCCTGACTGGCTGTGAGACGCTGGTAGGTTAACAGTCACATCACCATCTCATCCTACCAGGTACCCATTCACTGCTGTGCATGACGTTCTTCATAATTTCTAAATGCCTCTCAAGAAGTTTAACCTAGGGAGTACATAACCCTGACTGGCTGTGAGACGCTGGTAGGTTAACAGTCACATCACCATCTCATCCTACCAGGTACCCATTCACTGCTGTGCATGACGTTCTTCATAATTTCTAAATGCCTCTCAAGAAGTTTAACCTAGGAGTACATAACCCTGACTGGCTGTGAGACGCTGGTAGGTTAACAGTCACATCACTATCTCATCCTACCAGGTACCCATTCACTGCTGTGCATGACGTTCTTCATAATTTCTAAATGCCTCTCAAGAAGTTTAACCTAGGAGTACATTACCCTGACGTGCTGTGAGACGCTGGTAGGTTAACAGTCACATCACCATCTCATCCTGCCAGGTACCCATTCACTGCTGTGCATGACGTTCTTCATAATTTCTAAATGCCTCTCAAGAAGTTTAACCTAGGAGTACATAACCCTGACTGGCTGTGAGACGCTGGTAGGTTAACAGTCACATCACCATCTCATCCTACCAGGTACCCATTCACTGCTGTGCATGACGTTCTTCATAATTTCTAAATGCCTCTCAAGAAGTTTAACCTAGGAGTACATTACCCTGACGTGCTGTGAGACGCTGGTAGGTTAACAGTCACATCACCATCTCATCCTGCCAGGTACCCATTCACTGCTGTGCATGACGTTCTTCATAATTTCTAAATGCCTCTCAAGAAGTTTAACCTAGGAGTACATAACCCTGACTGGCTGTGAGACGCTGGTAGGTTAACAGTCACATCACCATCTCATCCTACCAGGTACCCATTCACTGCTGTGTGAACAGGGTACATTGCGAACATATTTACATATTAGATAACAGTGGCACGAACACAATAAAATTCAAGCAATTTAAGTAAATTCATGGGAATTTCCTAGACTTTAATTGTCTAAAGTAGCTCTGCACAACGCAAAGAAAACGAATTATAGTCGTGTCAAAATGTCACCATACAGGTACAACTGCCACGATAACAATAGCTGAAGTCAACACTATGAACGTCTCCGGGTGAGGGTACGTGATATACAAGCCTGTCTGTCTGCAAGTATATGAAGCCCCAGTCTTCTAAAACACTCGTGTCTTCTACAGTAAAAACAGTGGTGTACATCATTATCTGTAGTTCAGACAACCCTGTGCGATAGAGTATTTGACGTACATCATGAGGCTATTTCTACCACACACTCACCTTATACCTGACTATATACCCGAGGTGGGCTGTAGACTACACTACGCCTGTACGCAATGATCGCTGTCACAGGGTCATAGGTCACATGCTTGTGCTGGCTCAGATGACTTGCACAATCTACGTTATAGCTGCGTCCAGAACGTCTGTACACCTGATGAGTGAGTGACTCTGACAATCTAAGCCTCAAACCTCATTCATTATCGTACGTCAGAAAGGTTGAGTGAGTGAATGAGTTGGTGAGGGAGTGAGCGAGTGAGGGAGCGCGGGATTGCGGGAGTGCGGGAGTGAGTGAGTGAGTGAGTAAAGGACTGAGTGAGTGAGTGAATGAGCGAGCGAGTGAGTGAGAGGGTGTGTGAGTGAGTGAGTGAGTGAGTTGGTGAATGGGCGAGTGAGTGAGTGAGTACGACAGCCTGAGCCTGAAAACCTCATCCATCATGTCTCCTCGTACGTCAGACAGGTTGATGTGGTCCTGTTGTTAAGTATTCAGTGAAATCATTTTTATCTCTGGCTATTGACTTGATTTCATGTCACAGGTTGTGGCGGAATAACTGAACACCTGGCTGTACATACACCTGATGTTAAACCCCCCACAAATGTCATGTCAAGCTGTGTAACCAGTCAGGGCCATCACCTAGCTTACATTCAAGGCACTACAGTGTTATCTGAATGGTCGTGCGTATAACATTAGAAAATAATTTCTATGATTTATGTCGATGTTGTATCCGAAGTGCTGCCCTATTTATCAAATAACAACTTGTTTAAACAGACTCAACAATTGACTTCAATGCTCCTCGGTCTCCTCATAGTGCAGGCACCTGTTGTTTATAATTACTGAAGCAATCAGGCATGTCAAATAGCAAAACAAAGGAATTACTAGGGGACCGTATCAGTATAAACATGTGACACAAAGTTAAAACTTATATTTTCAAAACAATAACATACTCAGTTATACTTATGTTATAAATACATATTGGGATGATTCTGGCCCATTTTGCTAAGTCTTCGATGCCAGCCTTTGACATGATTTGTGGTCCTGGCACGCGCTTGATGGTTTCAGGACAGCCTGCCTTGCAACATCTCCAATGTACACAGGTGTTGCGTCTCTTCCCTGTTCTGAGCTGATAACCTTGATAGACGAGGTTACGACCACCTTGCGTATTAGGAATGAACTCTGGAACTCATGAACTCCTTTTCCTGTGTCATACAGCTGTTATGAGTTTTATTCAGTGACATTAATTGAACATGGATAATTGGTGAGTTGATGCCAATCTGACAATCTATCAGTTTGGAATCACTCCTAGGCCATGAGTTTAGTTTATGAGACGACCCCTTTTCTTATAACAACTTCACTAATCCTAATCCTCTACAGGCTGCCTGCACTGTGAGGATAAACCAATGCTCCTGCGAAACAAATGAACGGACTGTACCGAATTTGACATAAAGATACAGGTAAACGCATGCCAGAGATGCTGCGCTGCCCATTCAACAACATATATATGTATATGGTTATTGTCAATATTATTTGTAAACAATCTACAAAATATAGATGAATATATGTCATGAAACTGCCAGGTTTTATTCACACAATGTCACAAAAACATTTCCATTTGTATATTTCGTTTTGATAACAATATTTGTAGTTCCATTGAACCTGTGATGTCGGGCAGTTGTTGTAGGGAAACAGCTTGTAAATCACACTACAAGACTCCATTATGTCTGACTTCTCTGATATCGGTCACGTGATATGCAAATTAGCCAGTGTGGCTTATAAACGTCAGTGAACTGGTGAACTCCTTCTGGGTGAGTGAGTATGGTGTTAAATTTTTTTCAGCAATATTCCAGCAATATCATGGCGGGGACACCAGAAATGGCCGAGAGATTCACGCATTGTACCCACGTGGGGAATCGAACCCAGGCCTTCATCGTTTCGAGTGAACGCTTTGACCACTATGATACGTATGAATCCCAACTATAATAAAGCCAAACTATTGCTAAAAACAGCGAACAACATACCGTTGATCGTCCAATCTTCACAGCAAACTTCTGCTCAGCAAAAGTGATGAATTCTTGTTGTGTTGTCTGGGGTTTGTCTTTCTTCAAAAGGAGATTTCTTTCTTGATCAATGGCGTAACTTCTACAAGGGGTCGCTTAGCAGGTGGTGTACATCTTGTGATGAAAACTCATGTCGGTTGTAAACATTTTATACAGCTCGCTCTACTGTTATTTCTTGATTAAATCGTCTCAATTAATTTTCCTGTGTTCCTAATTAACAAGTGTGATGTTCACTGACGTCGGTGTCAAGCAGCCAGTGAGGCACACGCTAATTACCACTCACGTGTGATTGTTTGTATACGATCGGATCATCCGACCGGCTGTGTTGACTGTCGGATTAACGAATGTTTTTACAATGTATTTACAATAATCAGTTGCTAGATTGGTGTGTCGGAGTCGGAATGCGAGAATGTCGGATTAACGAGAGTAATTATCACTGTTTTAAATGGTTCCCTAATTTTTTGTCGGATTAACGTGATTGTTGGATTAATGAGTGTCGGATTACCGAGAGCTGACTGTACATGTAGTCATGAGTGAGTAAATCTTTCCGTCCCTTTCCACAATATTCCAGCAATTAACAGCAATACACCAGATATTGATTTCACCATATGGAGAATCGAACCCATGCTTTGTTCGTGATGACCGAACGCTCCATCCACGAGACTAAGCACGCCATCAAGGTATGGAACCGTGTGTTTGCATACGTTCAGCTCTCTATCTATCACCACTTGATATATTGTGGCATGCATGCCCTAGTCGGTTATAGAGACACATCAGAACTTGCAGGGCATAAATACTGACTGTCAGGTACAATATCTCACTGCTATCTTTCAGTCAGACCGGGTCTCCAGACGAGCCACCATGTCATCAGACGCCGCGGTGCCAATAACCAAAGACTGTGAAGCCCCCTCACAAAGACAGACCGGGTGTTATGTCTCCATCATCCATGGATTCATTCTGCTGCTGGTGGTGGCGGTGGTCGCCCTGTTAGTGGGGATAATCGTCCACTTTGCTGGGGGCCAGGAGTTGGTGTGTCAGTGTGATAACACCCCCGGAGTCAGCACCCCCGAGGCCATCAGACAGATGTGTATTGACATGGTCCAGAAGGGCACGGGAGACGAAATATGTAAGTTCAAGATGTATTTATTGTAAAACATGGATTTTGACGAGTTGCGAGCAAGAAACCTGTGGTCTTGGTTTCGAAACTCGCACATGACTCAGTTCGACGTCAGATTGCATTAACTTCCTGCTTGACAACAGTATAAGCACTTATACCGAAACGATGCTATATCAACTAAGTTTCCATCCATATATTATGTCCTCTTTGTAATCAGGGTCCATCAGTTCACAGAATTATCAAATATTTGGAGCCTGCACTTCAGGTTTTCCTGCCACAATAAGACACTATATATGTCAGACGACTGACGTGCTGTTTAACTGTTACACCCAAAGCAATCAGTCAAATGTATCACAAACGTGAATACTATTTTTAGCTTCTGTAATGATTTTGAATAATATTGTATTGATTTTATATATGCCTACACAGTACATCGGCAGATTCGTACCTGTTAGGTGAACCAGCTAAAATCATTAATAATTATAGAGTTTCATATTTGTAATATACCACAACCCGATTTTTTAAAATGTGACACCTTTAATGATATATTATTATATGCGAAATGCAAATAACATATAACCTTATTTGACAAGCAAGACAGTGCACGGTGTCCCTTGACTGATGACCAACTCGGGTAGCCCTGTTGTCTGTGTGCCGCTATTCGCATTCAGGGTTGCGTCCCTTAACAGGCCTAGGATCCTATAATTGTCATCTTGAATCCAGGATTAGGCCTGATTATTCGTGCTGGCAGGTTTCACAAAAGTGTTAAACATCCGAGACCGGCTTCCGGCTTCCGGCTTCCCTCCCATGTCAGACTGAAGCGTTGTGATACACCTGAAATATCACTCACTCACTTGACAAACACCCCTGTTGTTCCAGGTGACGTGTGCTCTGAAGCATCAGCAACAGCCACTCCGCCAAGTACACCTGCACCGACGGAGGCCCCCCTGAACTACCGCCTGCCTATAACCGCCCGGCCGTATCTCTACAACCTTGTTCTCAACCCAAACATATACAGCGGAAACAAGGACGACTTCGATTACCAGGGATCTGTGACAATAGACACAATAGCCGAACTAGCTTCTTCCACGATAACCTTACATGCTCATCCCTCGCTTAACATCGACAAGTCAAGCCTCCGAGTGGTCGATAGGAATACATCATCCCAGGTGGGCGTGGAAGAGGCTTCTTATGAGGAGGTGCGGGAGTTTTATACTCTTCACCTGGCGCAGAGTATGGTGGCGGGGCACCACTATCAGATTGATATCAGTTTCTGGGCACCATTGTCAGACTCAGGAACTGGATTGTACTTTGCCCAGTATGAAGAGAATGGCCAGACTGTGTAAGCCAGTCATGTCGTGACATCAAATCATCCATATCATATCATATCGTATCATATCGTATCGTATCGTATCGTATCGTATCGTATCGTATCGTATCGTATCGTATATCGTATCGTTTCCTATCCTATCCTTTCCTATCATATGCATTACGTCAAGTCGTACTATATAACATCATATCAAATCCACTTGAGCGGTGGGGTAGCCTTGTGGTTAAAGCGTCCGGCCGTCACGCCGAAGATCCGGGTTCGATTCCCCACATGGGTACAATATGTGAAGCCGTGATATTGATGGAATATTGCAAAAAGCGGCGTAAGACCAAAAACTCACTCACTCGCTCACTCAAATCCAATACATTTTGTCTTACCGTATAATATCACATTTTATATCGTGTGCTATGATATCGTATTGTTTAATATCTTGTATCATGTATCATGCCGTATCCGATCATGTCTTATTTTGTACCATGCTAAATGGTATTGTATTATTTCATATCGTATAGCATCTCTCATATGTCGCATAGACGATATCATATCATATCTCAGCATATCATGCATGCTATACAAAATATCGTATTATTTTTAATTGAACCGTATGATATCATATTATATGATTTGATACACATTGTAGATGTGTAATTAACTTGTGAAAAATAATAAAATGTATTGATTCAGCGATTTCATTATAATCCACAAACTGTTTTACGCTCATTGTTTTGACAATTTCTCCAATGTTTCAGGTACCTGGCAACGGCCAAGTTCGAGGCTCCACACGCCAGGAAGGCGTTCCCATGTTTTGACGAGCCTGCACTGAAGGCCCAGTTTGACATCACCCTGATATACCGAGACGGACAGAGCAGGAATTACACAGCCCTCTCCAACGCCCCACCCCTCAAATCTGAAAGGACGAGGTAAGGACACACTTAGTTGTTTGACTTAATTCTTATTTAGGAGATCATGGAATATAAATGGGAATGCTGTTGTAACGCGTCCGTGGTCCCAACTAAGGATTACAACATGGAAGATAATTGCTGACCAACAACACACTGTGCAGGAACGTGGAGCATGACAGAGAGATAATGTGCGTCAACTTCACAGGCCGCCGGGAACATAGGGTCAACTTGGACAGGCGCTGCAAGAGGAGTTCGACGGATTCCCTCTAATTGTCATTGGGATACTCAGCATCCCTCGTCCAGTAAATGAATCATAGGGGTATTACAATTCCCTTTCAGCTAATCGGCGTCGTCATTCGCAGGACCTTTTTCGAGTTTGATATACATTTCTAATCGTCCAAACCAACCTTCGAGGACTGAGGCCGTGAAAGAATGATCAAACGTATTATCTGTACGTTCAGGGCCGGAGGGCTCGATCGCTGGGTTATAAACAATGTTTTACTCTGGCGGTTACTGAAAAAGCTGTTTGAAACTGCCGCCTTCTTCTGACATATTTGTTCCGGTTGATTATCATCGACTGTTGTTCTTTTCGCCCCTTGGTTAGAGCGTCCGCCCGGAGAACGGAAGGTCGCGGGTTCGATCCCCGACCGCGTCATACCAAAAGAGGTTAAAACATGGTACTTGTAGTTCCCTGCCTGGCGCTGGTATTAATGGGTAAAACAAGGACTGGTCGTCTTGGAGTCAGTATAATGTGTCTGAGTAAGGTGTTCATGCTTAACTGCGGCATACGTCTGGGCTAGTACAAGCAGCCACACAAACATACGCATGCACATCGTCATATGAGCAAAATATTCTCAAGCACGACGTTAAACCCCATTTCTGTTACGCTTTCTCAATTAAGGACTCAATATGTATTTGTTATGAATTGAAAAAAAAAACAGATGTGCAAACAGTTTGCTGCGCGGATCCATACAGTTTTCACATCGGATTTTCGATTTAAACCCCAACAAACCTACATATATACGCAGTCAGTCCTTAATTGAGAAAACGCAACAGGGATTCCTTAATTCCTCCGTGTTGTTGTCCATCAAACTCGATTTCAGTTTCAAAATATCATCAGTACCTCCTTCCTTGTGTTGCAGTGACGGCATGGTAGCACAAACATTCAAAAGGACAGTGGTGATGCCAACGTACCTCCTGGCGTTTATCGTATGCGACTACGAGTACCTGGAAGATGTCGCAAGTAACGTTACAGTAAGCGTCACTAGGAAAACCGTTTTTTCTGAGTCTTCACGAGTGAGCACAAAACCGCAAGTTCTCTGCATTGACAACAATCACTTGATAACAATCACTTGATAACAATCACTTGATAACAATCATCACTTGATAACAATCATCACTTGATAACACTCACTTGATAACAATCATCACTTGATAACACTCACTTGATAACAATCACTTGATAACAATCATCACTTGATAACAATTACTTGATAACAATCACTCCTGTGGTTAACATTATTTATACGAATTAGGGCGGTGGAGTAGTCCAGTGATTAAAGCGTTCGCTTGTCACGCCAACGTTCGATTCCCAACATGGGTACAATGTGAGGCCCATACCTGGTGTTCCCCGCTGTGATATTGCTGGAATATTGCTGAAAGTGCTGTAAAGCGATACTCACTTACTCACTTATACAGACTGACCCTCTAAGGTCAATCCTTTGTGCACGCTTGTACTTCTTGGTCTTACAAGAATCTTAGCATAGGTTCGAATCTCAGATGCACACCGATCAAATGTCGCTCTTGAGCGTAAGAAATGGCGATTTGGTGACGCCTTCAGTGGTCCAAAGTATATAAATTTATGATACACGCCTTGGGTAATCTATCGTGGTGTAAAACTCACTTACTGAAGCAATATGTTGTGTTGGTGGACAATCTGTGAATGTGAGTGAGTGAGTGAGTGAGTTTAGTTTTACGCCGCTTTTAGCAATATTCCAGCAATATCACGGCGAGGGACACCAGAAATAGGCTTCACACAATGTACCCATGTGGGGAATCGAATCCTGGTCTTCAGCGTGACGAGCGAACGCTTTAACCACTAGGCTACCCAAACGCCCCATCAGTGAATGTGACGGATGGTTAGATTATGAGAATCATAAGAAGTCGACCTCTGTGATTATGTTGACACTGGTTCATGTATTCTTTTCCAAAAAGTTTTTGTTGCTCAAAATAATCGGGATCTCTGTATATCTTCCTAATTCCAAATTATCCAACTGGATATTCCAAATCATCGATCACTTCATTGTCTGGTTTGTTCACAGGCCTCTATCACATGACAGGAGTACTTCTGTGCGGCGTCAGACAGAAAATACTTCCTTTTTAAGACAATTTTTGTGAATGTCGGGCAGGACACGCCCACCCTTTTTGCAACACCTGGTGTCATCACTAATTTTCAGTGCCTCATGCATATACCTTTCATAGCTAGTTTTCCCTCTACACCCGTGAAGGTCCGGGTTACAAAAGGCCTTCAGTAACCCTTGCTTGTCGTAAGAGGCGACTAACGGGATCGGGTGGTCAGGCTCGCTGACTTGGTTGACACATGTCATCGGTTCCCAATTGCGCAGATCGATGCTTATGCTGTTGATCTGTCTGGTCCAGACTCGAAGATTTACAGACCGCCGCCATATAGCTGGAATATTGCTGAGTGTGGCGTAAAACTAAATTCACTCACTCACTCACTCACTCACTCATTTTTCCCTTTACACCAAACTGAATTTGTTTGAAGATATTTAAGACTGGGTATACTTTTGCGCTGATGTCTGTATCAATACACGCTCTTCAAAAGTGTATGCACTCGAAACAATATCTGGTCAGTCTGTGACTCTGTTACTCTAATGGTCATAAATTGTGTCGTATGTCTACACGTTAATAGGGTAGGGCGTCTTGACTGACCTGTACATGATAAACTGCTACACACTCCCAGTGTAGAGCATCGTGATCTTTCGTTGTGCTTGATAAACTGATATATTCTCCCAGTGTAGGGCGTCTTGATCTTTCGTTGTGCTTGATAAACTGATATATTGTACCAGTGTAGGGCGTCTTGACCTTTTGTTGCACATGATAAACTGCTACACACTCCCAGTGTAGAGCATCGTGATCTTTCGTTGTGCTTGATAAACTGATATATTCTCCCAGTGTAGGGCGTCTTGATCTTTCGTTGTGCTTGATAAACTGATATATTCTCCCAGTGTAGGGCATCTTGACCTTTTGTTGTACTTGATGAACTGATATATTCTCCCAGTGTAGGGCGTCTTGATCTTTCGTTGTGCTTGATAAACTGATATATTGTACCAGTGTAGAGCATCGTGATCTTTCGTTGTGCTTGATAAACTGATATATTCTCCCAGTGTAGAGCATCGTGATCTTTCGTTGTGCTTGATAAACTGATATATTGTACCAGTGTAGGGCATCGTGACCTTTTGTTGTGCTTGATAAACTGATATATTGTCCCAGTGTCAGGCATCTTGACCTTTTGTTGTGCTTGATAATCCGTTAGACACTCCCTATGTAAGGCGTCTTGACCTTTTGTTGTGCTTGATAAACTGATATATTGTCCCAGTGTCAGGCATCTTGACCTTTCGTTGTGCTTGATAAACCGTTAGACACTCCCTATGTAAGGCGTCTTGACCTTTTGTTGCACATGATAAACTGCTACACACTCCCAGTGTAGGGCATCTTGACCTTTTGTTGTGCTTGATGAACTGATATTTTCTCCCAGTGTAGGGCGTCTTGACTGACCTGTACATGATAAACTGCTACACTCCCCCAGTGTAGAGCATCGTGATCTTTCGTTGTGCTTGATAAACTGATATATTCTCCCAGTGTAGAGCATCGTGATCTTTCGTTGTGCTTGATAAACTGATATATTGTACCAGTGTAGGGCATCGTGACCTTTTGTTGTGCTTGATAAACTGATATATTCTCCCAGTGTAGGGCATCGTGACCTTTTGTTGTGCTTGATAAACTGATATATTCTCCCAGTGTAGGGCATCGTGACCTTTTGTTGTACTTGATGAACTGATATATTCTCCCAGTGTAGGGCATCGTGACCTTTTGTTGTACTTGATGAACTGATATATTCTCCCAGTGTAGGGCATCGTGACCTTTTGTTGTACTTGATAAACTGATATATTCTCCCAGTGTAGGGCATCGTGACCTTTTGTTGTGCTTGATAAACTGATATATTCTCTCGCAGTGTAGGGCATCGTGACCTTTTGTTGTACTTGATGAACTGATATATTCTCCCAGTGTAGGGCATCGTGACCTTTTGTTGTACTTGATGAACTGATATATTCTCCCAGTGTAGGGCATCGTGACCTTTTGTTGTGCTTGATAAACTGATATATTCTCCCAGTGTAGGGCATCGTGACCTTTTGTTGTACTTGATGAACTGATATATTCTCCCAGTGTAGGGCATCGTGACCTTTTGTTGTACTTGATGAACTGATATATTCTCCCAGTGTAGGGCATCGTGACCTTTTGTTGTGCTTGATAAACTGATATATTCTCCCAGTGTAGGGCATCGTGACCTTTTGTTGTACTTGATGAACTGATATATTCTCCCAGTGTAGGGCATCGTGACCTTTTGTTGTACTTGATGAACTGATATATTCTCCCAGTGTAGGGCATCGTGACCTTTTGTTGTACTTGATGAACTGATATATTCTCCCAGTGTAGAGCATCGTGATCTTTCGTTGTGCTTGATAAACTGATATATTCTCCCAGTGTAGGGCATCGTGACCTTTCGTTGTGCTTGATAAACTGATATATTCTCCCAGTGTAGAGCATCGTGACCTTTTGTTGTGCTTGATAAACCGTTAGACACTCCCTATGTAAGGCGTCTTGACCTTTTGTTGTGCTTGATAAACTGATATATTGTCCCAGTGTCAGGCATCTTGACCTTTCGTTGTGCTTGATAAACCGTTAGACACTCCCTATGTAAGGCGTCTTGACCTTTTGTTGTGCTTGATAAACTGATATATTGTCCCAGTGTAGGGCGTCTTGACCTTTTGTTGTGCTTGATAAACTGATATATTGTCCCAGTGTCAGGCATCTTGACCTTTTGTTGTGCTTGATAAACTGATATATTGTCCCAGTGTAGGGCGTCTTGACATTTTGTTGTGCTTGATAAACTGATATATTCTCCCAGTGTAGGGCATCGTGACCTTTTGTTGTGTTTGATAAACTGACATATTGTACCAGTGTAGGGCATCTTGACCTTTTGTTGTGCTTGATAAACTGATATATTCTCCCAGTGTAGGGCGTCTTGACATTTTGTTGTGCTTGATAAACTGATATATTCTCCCAGTGTAGGGCGTCTTGACCTTTTGTTGTGCTTGATAAACTGATATATTCTCCCAGTGTAGGGCATCGTGACCTTTTGTTGTGTTTGATAAACTGACATATTGTACCAGTGTAGGGCATCTTGACCTTTTGTTGTGCTTGATAAACTGATATATTCTCCCAGTGTAGGGCGTCTTGACCTTTTGTTGTGCTTGATAAACTGATATATTCTCCCAGTGTAGGGCGTCTTGACCTTTTGTTGCGCTTGATAAACTGATATATTCTCCCAGTGTAGGGCGTCTTGATATTTTGTTGTGCTTGATAAACTGTTATACTCTTCAGGGCGTCTTGGCTTGTTTGCTGTACATGATAAACTGCTAATTTCAGTATCGGACCTTTGCGATGCCGAAGAAGATTCAGTTTGCTGACAAGGCTCAGCTACATGGGATGAAGATGTTCAACAGATTATCCGAGTACTTCAAGCCTGCATATGTGTACGATAAACTGGGTATGTAGTACAAATTGTATTAAAAGTGAATGAGTGAAGGAGTTAATTAGGTTTTATGCATTTTGTAATAATACCCTTTCATTCCATGGATATTCCGAAATAGAGCACGTTGTCATGTATGTTGATTCGAACCCGACCCCATGACGTGCAAACACTTAAACCACACATCATCAGTAATTTATACAGAGACACTACACTACCGTTGTTGAGGAGACTTACGTTTCAACTCCTAAATGTTCCCTTGTAGAGTTGCGCAATCTCTGATCCTGACTGGCAATCCAAAGTTATCGTTGATTATATCTCTAACAAAGTGTTAACTGTATCAGGACCACCCTATTTGGGGCTCATCTGAAGGATGACATGATCCTTGCACCCAAAATATTGTATTTTTTCGTTGTTAGTCTGGCCTTCTTGCAGGCGAAAAACTGCTGAATGCGCTTTTAAGTTCTGATTGTTACACTGCAGACAACATCGTGATTCCGGACTTCGTGGCTGGAGCCACTGAGAACTGGGGTCTCATCAGCTACAGGGTGGCATTACTGTATGAGCCCGGGGTCTCCTCAGCCTCCGACGAGAACTGGATAGCAGAGGTCATCTGTCATGAGATTGCACACATGGTATGATTCATGTCTTTTAGTGGAAACTAGAACATCGTGCAGTCTGGCTGTCCTTCGTTGTTTGATATACCTTGTGTGTCAATTAATGTACAAATACAAGGAGAGCCCTGTTTCGAGTTTCGAGCGATATCTTGCGAGGCCTCCTCTTCCTCCTCCTATATTTTCTTCGTCTTCGTCCCCTTCTCCTGCAGTACAATCCTCCCAAGTTTCTCCTACTCCTCCTACCTCCTCACTCTTCGTGTCTCCCACTCTTCTCCTACTCCTCCTACCTCCTCACTCTTCGTGTCTCCCACTCTTCTCCTACTCCTCCTACCTCCTCACTCTTCGTGTCTCCCACTCTTCTCCTACTCCTCCAACCTCCTCACTCTTCGTGTCTCCCACTCTTCTCCTACTCCTCCTACCTCCTCACTCTTCGCGTCTCCCACTCTTCTCCTACTCCTCCTACCTCCTCACTCTTCGTGTCTCCCACTCTTCTCCTACTGGTTCTTCCCCCCAATTCTTTATTCCTTTCTATCGTTCTCATTTTTCTCAAATTACCTTTTCTTTCCCTATCTTTATACTTCGTCCTTTTCTTCTTATCTTTCTTTTGTTTATAATCTCCTCATCCTCATATCTTCTTCGGGCGGTGGGGTAGCCTAAGGGTTAAAGCGTTGGCTCGTCACGCCGAAGACCCGGGTTCGAATCCCTACATGGGCACCATGTGTGAAGCCCATTTCTGGTGTCCCCCGCCGTGATGTTGCTGGAATATTGCTAAAAGCGGCGTAAAAACAAACTCAGTCAGTCAGTCATATCTTCTTCGTCGTCTCTTATTCATTTCTACTCCGTCTTCTCCTGCCCCCTCCTTCGGTCCTTTTCATTTTAATCAAGTTCTTCGTTTCTTCTCATCTCTTCTTCCTCTCCTGTATCTTCTCCTTTCCGTCCTTTTATCCACTGCGTCATATCATTTTCATGTTTCTCTCTGTCTCCTCCCTTTTCTTCTTCTAATCGTCCTCCTCTATTACTATGCCAAGATGTCCACTGTTTTCTTTTCAGTGGTTCGGAAACCTGGTGTCACCTCAGTGGTGGAGCTGGCTCTGGTTGAACGAAGCATTTGCATCCTTCCTTGACTACCACATTGTTGGTGAGATCTACCCCAGCTGGAAGATGGTAGGTGTATGGTACAGGGGTGTCGGGGGCCGTCTCAATACCATTTTGTTTCAGGACTGTAAAGAAGCAACACCACACTGGTAATCGTATTATCGTTTTAGTAATGAGAAGCAAACATCTTGATGCCTTGGATAGTCGAGAATGTGCTTTGCCCCTAAAACAGATTATCAATAGGACAATCTTTTCGAACATTATTACACAGCCCATAAAAAAAGGCCCGACAAAATATCATATAGATAGTTTAGATGAATATTATAAGTATATTGCAAGGCTGTGTTATGGTGATCTATAAGATCTAAAGGCATCAGGTTATATATACTCCCCATCAAAAGTTTAGACTCACTAGTGTAAATGTAGCCACTTACTCAAGTCAACTCTTCAACCAGATTTTGCACAATTTTCCATACTGTTTAAAGGTACTGTTTTCACATGAACTAATGTATTGTAAAACAAATTCGTAACGTTGAAAAGATTATTGTCATGGGTTAAAAAAATGATGAAACTGAGTGAAAATTGGCGAATTTTAACAAAGTTTACACCAGAACACAGCTGTTCACATGCACGATATTTACACATGGTTTTTAGCAATTTAATGCATGATCCTCGTGCAATTCATCTGCATAAAGTTTGCAGTTGGTTCCCCCAAGTTAGTTGAGAAATTCATCTTCAATTTAACAACACGTATATGCATAACATATAGTGAGTGCTTTAAGTGAGTCTCAACTTTTGATGGGTAGTATACATACATTCCCGTGAAGATTCTTGACAGAATTGGTCTTCATCAACCCATGCTTGCCGTAAGAGGCGACTGACGGGATCGGGTGGTCAGGCTCGCTGACCTGGTTGACACGTCATCGTATCCCAGCTGCGTTAATCGGTGCTCATTATGTTGATCACACGAATGCCTGGTCCAGACTGGATTATTTACAGGTCGCCGCAATATAGCTTGGATATTTCTTAATGCGGCATTAAACAAACAAAGAAACAAACAAACAAAGAAACGAACAGGAAGGGGAGGGTCAGTATCAGTTGCGTGTTTCAGCTGGACATCCATGTTGCTGCCAGCACCCACGGTGTGATGTCATCCGACAGTTTGACGTCATCACACCCCCTCACTGCTGACGTCATGTCACCGGCAGAGATCAGCTCTATATTTGACAGTGTTACATATTCTAAGGTACTAGTATATATATAAGGGGTAATGTGTTTTGGCGCGCATGTTAAACAAAATTGCCATGACCGGGAACCCGTTTTAGCTGTTTCTGTTTGTCATGTGCCGTTTCGGTTAATAACCCAAACAATATGGCCTCGAGGATGACTGATCGTATGCCGCTAATGCTTTCTACGAATTTGACTTAAAACCGTTTTGGTAGGTCAGGGAGCCGAAACAAGAACAGAATACTGCTGTTGTCAACATATATAATCGTCCAATAACTGGTTAGAAGATACATATCAGTGATAATTTATTCATGTAAAAGGTGAAAGTTGTTTTAATCAGGCTTGTCATTTTAAGTATTACTATAAGAATATGATTCTTTTATTATTATGATTCTGTTGAAAGTGTTACTATTATTACCTACTGATGTGTTCAACTAACAATAAGTTTTTCCCTTAATAAGGGCGCCGCTATAGTCCGTATGATGCACCTTGTGATGGGACAGGACCTGTTCATTAAAGGGTTGAACGTGAGTTCTACTTACAGTAGATTGGCAAGTGTAAAAGTACAGAGATTATTTTGATGACATCCTGATCATTTGATAAACCTTGCCAAGGGATTTTTTTTCAACTTAGTTCACAGATCCGTCCAGGACAGAATATGTAAAATAGTATCAAACAGAAATTGTAACTTAACAGTAAACTGGGTCCCAGCTTTATCATGTCAAGTCATCCATGCTCAGTCACAAGTTAATATTCTCTTCATAACTGAGATGTTGTTACAACAAATACCTGCACTGTTCAGGGGTTTTTCAGCACTCAAGAAGATGTGTAACTTTATTCCCATGTAAAGTCTATGGGAAAAAGACTCGGAGTTTTGGTGTCGACAGATTATTCAACAGGCCACTGCTTCAATACAATACTAGTTAAAGAACTGACTTTGAATTAAGTACAGTATTTCGTACCGTCCAGTGAGCATTTGTTTGCTGTTGTAAAAACTGAGGCAAAACAGTGTTCCTCTTAATATCAAAGAGATGTCTCTAAGAATCTGATTTTGGACAGACAGCAGAATATATCCAAAACAAATAGTGAGCTTGGTGTTTTACCTGGTTCTGTTTAAAGCATTTCCGCCGTGTCCGCTCTTTCCAGCACGATACATGTCTTTAGTAATGCTGAACATTCCGTCTTACCAGCGCTACCTTGCAACAAATGCCTTTGGTAATGCTGAACACGACGACCTGTGGAAGGCCTTGACAGAGATAAGTATATTTAAATCGTTTGAGGATATTTCTACATCTTGATTACGGTACTCACCAATTTAACCGTTTGGTCGTCACACCGTATGCCCGTGTTCAAATCTCTAAAAGGGTACAACGTGCGAAACACATTTATGGTGTTATCCCTGAAACATTCCTAAAGGCGTGCATTATCTAACCCCGTTTTACCGCTTTCACACTGTTTCAGTTATAGCGCGGTATGTCAGCTTGATGTGGGAAGTGGTGCAGGTATACGTATTGTTTGATTGGAGTATATGTACCAGACAAAAACCTCATTATGCATCACTCACTGCTTTATTTCATATGCAATGCTCATTTATATGACCGGGGAAGGTGGGGTAGCCTAGTTGGTACTGCGTTGCTCGTCACGTAAAAACGCGGGTTCGATTCCCCCAAAACGGTACAATGTGCTAAACGTTTTTAAAACTGTGTTGATTGTTGTTATTCTTACCATTACTTCTTCCTTTCAAGAAGCCCTGGCCAATTCTGTAGATCTGAACATGACGGAAATCATGGACCCCTGGGTCACTCAGATGAACTACCCCGTCGTCCATGTTCAAGTAGGATCAGGAACGGTAACTCTAACACAGGAACGATATCTGTCTTCCGGTGGAGATAATCCCGACCAGGATTCTGGCAAATACGGGTACGCCACTTTCAACCTATAAATTGATGATGATGACATCATAATGGGAGTTATACAGGTCACATCGGCGATCATTGACTCAATGAGGAATCATTTTGGATAGGTCTGACTTCTACAGAGAAATAGGTGGGGTGGGGGTTAGGGGTGCTACCTGTCTTACTTAATTCTTGTAGGGTAAACGTCAACTACTCATCCCGCTCTGACCTTGGCTGGCATAAGCATTTTTTGATGAAGTACAATTTAATTATCCTGAGTCGATACATCAAATACATTAGTTCAGAAAAAAAGAAGAAAAAACAACAAAATATCTTCACGTTATATTCGTTCCCCAAAGTAAATTGTAATATTTTGAAGTTTCCCCCTCCAGGTACAAGTGGACAATTCCCATCACTTACACAACGAGCGACAACGTCAAGTTTACCACCACGCCCTCTGATGTTCACAACTTCAAGTACCACGACGACAAACGTGAGTTGTGGAGAAATTACAATTAAAAGAGTACATGAATGTGTGAATGTTTCCGTCGCTGAGTGAGTGAGTGAGTGAGTGAGTGAGTGATATTTTGTATTTGGTTGGGTCCTGGAAAAGTTTCTGGGATGTACAGAGGATGAGATGGAACTTAGCAGGACTATAAAGTCCGGGTGAGTGAGTAAGTGAGGATTGGATGAGTGATTGAGTGTGCGTCCCTAGTGGGATTCGATTGATTGATTAAATGAGTTTGAAAACCTCATTCATCATGTCGCCTCGTACGTCAGACAGGTTGATGGGGACCTCGGAGGGGGGGTTCAGGGGGTTCGACACTCACGCACACACACACACACCTTGAAATTTTCTGGATCCGCCAATGGGAACTGTTGTTGAATATTCAGTGAAATTATTGTTTTCTCTGGCCATTGATTTGATATCATGTCTGGCAGTCAGGCAGTAAGTCTACATTTGTATAGATGTGTAATAGACACCTAAGCATGAGCAGATGGTCTGTGGTGCCCGTATCTGATGGTGATGTTCTAGAAACGTGGGGTCGACTTCCTGTTCTCCAGGACTACACGTCGACACCACACCTGTGGATTTCACCAGTGTGTAGTACCTCCCAGAGTTGTATCACGTCGTGGTATAACTGAAGTGTTAATCTAACTCACCTAACTCATACTGTTATGGTTGTATGTTAAAGTGGAGTTGACCGTGAATGTACCGGCCGGTGGATGGATCCTTGTGAATATCCAGGAGTGTGGCTTCTACAGGGTCAGCTACGACACCAACAACTGGAACAACATCATCAGCACGTTGACAACAAACCATGCGGTAACATGACATATAGTGAGAATATTTTATCCGGATGTTTCCATATGTTTAATGTCATATTGGAATATTAAAATTACTAACACTTATTGAGATTCATTCACAAATGTTTTTAAACTCGTGTAGGAATTAGAGTGAATCGTCCTTTTCACTGCAATGCTCGGAACGATGTCCAGCAATATTCATTTACCTGTACATCAGCAGATCGGGTTTCTCCTATCTACACGTTTTTAGGGAAAGTTAAGCATAGATGTTTGAGCGTCCGTGCAAGATGACTTCTTTCTCATCTTTATTGACCAGTGAAATCAGTGGGATTAATATTGATTATTCGTTCTGATAACACTGTGATTCATGCCATACATTTGTGTGTCTGTATAATGGATACGATGCATTTCTGTACATAGACACTCACTCACTCACTCACTCACCCACTCACTCACTCAGTCGTGTACGTGTAGAAAGGTCCAAGTTAGCATATCAGCCAATCAGATTCCTTGCACGTGTTTTGGCTCTCATGTCGTCACCGATTGGTGTGTTGTAATGATAACGCCATATGTGTAATATTGTTTTTATTGAACAGGCAAAGGCATCACTAATTCTTCCTCAAGTTTGTTTAGAGAATGAAATATAAATCATGTTGATATCTACTATCACACAGTTGTATTAATTTTTTTTTTCAGATAATAGACCCAATAAATCGAGCGCAGATTATCAATGACGCTTGGAACTTAGCCAAGTAGGTTGGAATATTTACTTATACCTTGCATGTACTTGTTGACGTCATTTAGAAGGTGCAGCAAGCCTTTAACGTGGTATATCATATCATTTCACTGATAAGGACTTTGGTCCTGTTTAACCCCCATCAGCATGAAGAAAGTTGTTTACAGTTTAAGTAACAGAGATGATCCTACCTGGTACCCTTTGTACAGCATGGAGAAGTGAATACACAATACCATTAGGAAGTGGTCAGATGTATCATACGTTAAATGTAGGATTACACTTTCTTGGTAAAACACAGATTGTAATACTTTTGTGAGGTTCAATCATACCCGGGACTCGAACCCACACTCTCAGAATCAGGCACCTAATCGCCATCACACAAAGTCAGCGATCTAACCCACTCAGCCATCTCTACTGAGAAGGTGTAATCTCAATATAACATGTTACATTTCACCACATTCCAAATATCAATGAGTTAAGACACTACCAATTGTGGTGGCTGAGTGGGTTAGATCGGTGACTTTGTGTCACTATTACTGGGCAACGTCACATATTCACCTTCTCTCCGTATGTCATTTGGCCTATTGATCAACGGGCGTGGCCTAGTGGTTAACGCGTTCGCTCGTCACGCGGAAGACCCGGGTTCGATTCCCCACATGGGGTACAATGTGTGAAGCCCATTTCTGGTGTCCCCTGCCGTGATATTGTTGGAATATTGCTAAAATTGACGTAAAACTAAAGTCACTCACTCACTATTGGTATTTACTTGCACAATGTTACATGTTCCTCCAGAGCAGGGATGTTGGACCAGGACGTTGCACTCCGGACTGTCAACTACCTGAGCAGCGACCTGGATTACGCCCCTTGGAGAGCCTTCCGCCGGGAACTTGACTACGTGGACGACATGTTGGAGCGTACGCCACTCTACGGAATGTTTGAGGTGATAGATGGAGTCAGTTAAGATAAAATATTTAAGAAAACTGCCATGAAGGGATTAACCAGCGTCCGACGATTCTTAACACTTTAGCTTAGGGCTTCAGGGTTTATACGAAGATTAATTGTCTTTAGGTCAATGATAATAATAGTCCACCTGAAACGCGCCGAATCCATGCACAATGCATGCTCTACGCGCGCACGTCCGAGAGGAGATGAAAGAAGCCACACAGAGAAGGCAAGTCTGACAAGAAGCTTTTGAGCTGGGCCTTAAACAGACTTTAGTGCATGAGTATGCACTGTTTAAAGTTGAAACACTTCTTGATAATGATTCGTTGCTCATGACTTCACCCACTGGTCTGCCTGTTCACAATCAGTAATGTACTGACCGACGCTACATATAGCAGGAAAAACGCTGACTGCGCGTTTTGAAGCCTCCACACACCCAAGCGCCCCACTGAGGTGTACGAAGCGCATAAGTTCCACGTTTTCAGATATTTTCATGTACGTAGGAGATAATTTCATTAGAAATGTCAATGGACGTGCTCTAGTTCAGTGTATTCACTTTCTGGTTCCAAAGTTACGCAATACAACGGGGTGGCACCGTGCTGCAAAACTATCATTACATTTTAGGACTTCATGAAGAAGACCGTCGACATCCCCTTCACAACACTTGGTACCAACATCACCGAGGATATGACGCCTATCGAAAAGTACGTGTGAAGACTATAAATGTTATCATGCCAACACATATCAATCTCTATATATACATATATATACTAACGTAATAATCCGAAAAGGCGGAGTCAAACTTAAATGTTAAATTGTAAGGTTTATGAAAACGTTGGTCTCACAATAATTAGAAGATAAAGCTACTCTGTTTTCAATTTTGCGGTCCTTTATCGTTGATTTAAGACCGCTAAATGTAATTTAAACACCGAAGCGTTAGCATTTAGCGGTCTTAAATCAACGATAAAGGACCGCAAAATTTAGTACAGAGTAGCTTTATCTTCATTCTAGCACGACTGATAAGCGTTTTAAAACCGAACTGTTTGGTGCGCAAGAACACAAGGCGCGACGGGGCCTTTTTTCCTGGTAATCGCTTGGAATCGTCCCGTTGAGGGACAGGTTGTGTAATGAACAAAATAAGACATTTTCAACAACATAAATGCTTTAGTATGCTAACCAGTATGCTTGTATTTGTAACAAGTAGCATACATAAATAATAAAAAATACAGTTTATACTGTGAGCAAGTACAATTATTTGAATTTTCTCAAGCGAATTATTGATCCCCCCTACTGTATGACAATCGACTCGTTCAAATTCAAGCCGTGAACTCGCTAAGTTTAGTCGCCGCTAACTTTATTCACGGAAATAATTGTTGATAACCACCCTACTATTCCCAATTTGGAAAAGACCTGACATGCCACGTTTTATGTGGGATACATGGACAGTGGTAGTGGAAGGACTGGGCATTACGGCCGGGACGAAAGCGGTCAGGTTAGGACGTGATGGCCGACGTTTGTTGTCGACGTCAACACACGTAGATCTGGACCCGGTTTGAATACACTGCCGCTTTTGCGCTGCTGACGGATTTTCCAGCTTCGTAGTTCTTCACTGGGATTAGGGTCAAGAAATTCTTCTTCAACCCATTCACTTTTTGCTTCAAAAACACCAAAGATGCTGCCGAGATAGAAATTGCCGATGTCCGACATGTTTGTTTACAAACAAAAGGGTCAACGAGTTCGTTGTATTCATACGCGGTGAATCGGTCACTTTAATTAGCGGTCTTAAACAGCCATTTAAGTACGGTTTTGATGAGCTCTCAGCCAATCAGATTCGAGTATCACACAATGTCGCGCTAGAATGATCATTCGAGCATTACAAGTGAAATATGTCCAAAACGTTAGGTGTATGTTGAAATGAACGACCTCCAATTCCTGTTCATGAACACCTTAATTCTATAATGGTTGGCAAAGATGTCCTCCAAAGGGGCCTTTACACCTTGTCCGTTCTTCGTAGGATTGAGATAGCGCAGATGGCGTCAGTGGCGTGTAGTTACGACTACAGCGACTGTGTGGATACATCAGTGAGACTGTTCTCCATCTGGATGGAAGATGGAACTAACAATCAGTAAGTTGCATGTTAATCTACATGAGGGTTGTACACTAACAATCAGTAAGTTGCATGTTGATCTACATGAGGGTTGTACACTAACAATCAGTAAGTTGCATGTTAATCTACATAAGGGTTGTACACTAACAATCAGTAAGTTGCATGTTAATCTACACGAGGGTTGTACACTAACAATCAGTAAGTTGCATGTTAATCTACATGAGGGTTGTACACTAACAATCAGTAAGTTGCATGTTAATCTACATGAGGGTTGTACACAACAATCAGTAAGTTGCATGTTAATCTACACATAAGGGTTGTACACTAACAATCAGTAAGTTGCATGTTTAATCTGACAACATAAGGGTTGTACACTAACAATAAGTAAGTTGCATGTTAATCTACACGAGGGTTGTACACTCAACAATCAGTAAGCTGCATGTTAATCTACATGAGGGTTGTACACTAACAATCAGTAAGTTGCATGTTAATCTACATGAGGGTTGTACACTAACAATCAGTAAGTTGCATGTTAATCTACATGAGGGTTGTACACTAACAACAATCAGTAAGGGCTGTTGCATGTTAATCTACATGAGGGTTGTACACTAACAATCAGTAAGTTGCATGTTAATCTACATGAGGGTTGTACACTAACAATCAGTAAGTTGCATGTTAATCTACATGAGGGTTGTACACTAACAATCACTAAAGTTGCATGTTAATCTACACGAGGGTTGTACACTAACAATCAGTAAGTTGCATGTTAATCTACACGAGGGTTGTACACTAACAATCAGTAAGTTGCATGTTAATCTACATGAGGGTTGTACACTAACAATCAGTAAGTTGCATGTTAATCTACATGAGGGTTGTACACTAACAATCAGTAAGTTGCATGTTAATCTACATGAGGGTTGTACACTAACAATCAGTAAGTTGCATGTTAATCTACATGAGGGTTGTACACTAACAATCAGTAAGTTGCATGTTAATCTACATGAGGGTTGTACACTAACAATCAGTAAGTTGCATGTTAATCTACATGAGGGTTGTACACTAACAATCAGTAAGTTGCATGTTAATCTACATGAGGGTTGTACACTAACAATCAGTAAGTTGCATGTTAATCTACATGAGGGTTGTACACTAACAATCAGTAAGTTGCATGTTAATCTACATGAGGGTTGTACACGATTACATCTGTTCTCAGACGTGAGGGGTGTATGTTACGATGAATAATATTGCTTGTATGGATTCCGGGGCTAATGTGGATTTCTAATGACGACCGCTGGCCAAGATAGCAATACAAACCACCTTGTGACGTCTTTTTAAATGACGACGACAGGGGATCGAACCGTTGACATTCCATGCAGACGCTCTATCCAGATTACACGGGGCGTGGAAGACGTGAAATTTATAGTCGTTAAATATATGCAGTAATTTCCATGTTGAAAGGCACAGGAAACGTATTATCCATATCTGACGTGATTGAGAGATTCCGACATTATTCTGCTATTGGCTCAAGACATACATGTATAACGGGGCAAGGTGGTGGGGAATGGGCTAATGTGTAGCAGTCGGGATGACTCCAGAAAAGTGGTTCACTCTTCGTATCAGTGTGGAGAATGTCAATTGAAAATTTGAATTAGCCATGCGAGATTTATGAGTGAGTGAGTGAGATTAGTTTTATGCCGCACTCAGCAATATTCCAGCTATGTGGTGGCGGTCTGTAAATAATCGAGTTTGGACCAGACAATCCAGTGATCAACAGCATGAGCATCGAGCTACGCAATTGGGAACCGATGACATGTGTCAACCAAGTCAGCGGGCCTGACCACCCGATCCCGTTAGTCGCCTCTTACGACAAGCATGGGTTACTTAATATTCTGACCCGGATCTTCACGGGTAATGTGAGATTTATGACTGCTGGTAGGTTATGTGTATAAAATGATAGTCACAGGCACGAAATTAATCCTAATATGCATTTCTGCAAATACTGGTCTAGATCCTCTTATTGGACTATTGGAACGAGTGATTTCATGTGTTCACCATGTTTCAGAATATACCCAGACCTGCGCAGTACGTTCTACTGTACGGCCGTGAGACACGGAGGTCTGGAAGAATGGGAGTTTGTCCGCCAGAAGTATCTCACGGAGCAGACAAGTTCTGAGAAGGACAGATTGAGACGAGCTTTGTCGTGCACAAGAGAACCCTGGCTACTACAGAGGTATGCGGAGGCACTGTTATAGACATAGCTTTACTATAAAGTTGCAAAAATGGAAAATGCAGGGTTGTATCCATTATCGTGAGTTCGAATCCGATATACGCCATGATTGTGGTTTTTTGTTTGTCGCCAACAAACCCTTGTTAGTCCAGTAAATTTTGGTTTTACCAAAACATCAACGTGACACACTGTGTCGTGACTGAAAAGATGCGGCATAAAACCATATTCACTCATTACAATTGAGGTATAGCCATCATTGTGTGGAGATCAGAACTCACGCTCAACTCATCGCAAGATACATAAATAATTACTTAGGTGAGGTGAGGTGAAATTGGGTTTTACGTCGTGCTTGAGAATATTTCGCTCATATGACGACGTGCATGCTTGTGTATGTGTATGTGCGGCTGCTTGTACTAGCCCAGACTGAAGCTGGTTTTATAGTGCTAGCCCACTGAGATACTATGCCGCAGTGAAGCATGAATACCCCACTCAGACACATTATACTGACTCCGAGCCGACCAGTCCTTGTTGTACCCATTAATGCCAAGCGCCAGACAGGGACCAACAAATACCATATTTTAACGTCTTTTTGGTATGACGCGGTCAGGGATCGAACCCGAGACCTTCCGCTCTCCGGGCGGACGCTAAATACTTACTTAGAAAGCCAAATGTACTACATTCAGAAAATGTTTATACTCATAATGCTTTGTTTCGCATTTGCTGGAAAACTTTGAACTTTATTAGCATTTGTGTATTGTCAAAGTGAGCTTTTCGTTATTGTATCGCTTATCAGTTATGGCAGTGATAGAAGTAATGTAAGTGAGTGAATGTAGGTTTACGCCGCATAAGCATTATGCTAGTGGTACCACTGCTAAGAACACCAAAGAATAGTCTCACACAGGACGTGAAGACTGCATGGGCAGACATACATTGGACCAATCGATCGTCCGTTTCTAACGCTGCTTGATCCCATGGCGTATATAGTTTTAGCGTCACTGACGTTTTCTCCATAAAAGCCCGAATATGTACTTATGGCTCCCGTGTATTGTTCAGACATCGTATTGTATTGTGATGCATTTTGATCATGTGTAACATTCAGGGGCCCGATTCACAAATCTATCGTAGCGCTACGACAGTCGTAAGTCTATGTTAAGGTATGGGGGTTACGATTATCTTAGCGCTACGATCGCTTTGTGAAACGGGCCCAGGTCTTTCAGTCCTGAGACATGGTTTTGTCGACACTGAACATGTTTTGTTGAGTATGTTTTGTCTGTATTATCATTGTTTCTATCATTTTTCAGAGTTTTGGAAATGTCCCTGAATTCGGATGAGGTGAAAGGCCAAGACGTCTTGTCCACTGTCACATACGTGGCCAACAACCGCTGGGGGCGGGAGCTCGCCTGGGACTTTGTCAAACATCACTTTGCTGAACTGGGTTCTGCGTATGTTGTTTGCTCCTTCAGAAAACCTTGCAATTGTTCCAGCTCTGTTGCACAGTCAGTGATCGTCAGCCCTTCATGGGAGGTCGTTTCCCAGAAAACAGTTCACCTTTGAATTTGTGCGATGTGCTCAGAGAAGTAGTTGACCATTGTATAGATGTAATGTGCTCAGAGAACCAATTGGCCATTGGATTTGATAATGTACCCAAAGAACTTTAAGAAGACCCGAATAACCAGTTGACAATTTTACAGACACAGCTGAATATTGTACTGAGCAATATAAGGTGAACCAGAGAACTGGTTGACTTTGTGTTGTTCAAAATGATGCAAATTATACGTCAAAATAGCATTATCAAAAATTTGCCCAAAACGTGATGAAAGTATTGCAATAGTTTAGCATGGTACCATGTCAAGATGATCAGGGTTTCCTAGCAACCTTAACTTGTCAGTCGAAGTGTTGGTTATTCCTGGGGTCATTCCTAGCGGTTTGTCCAGTGCAGACTTGATTGTCTTCATGTCACCACCATAAAGCTAACATATACCGATGAGGGCAACAAAACTAACATATACCGATGAGGGCAACAAAGCTAACATATACCGATGAGGGCAACAAAACTAACATATACCGATGAGGGCAATAAAACTAACATACCGGTATACCGATGAGGGAAACAAAACTAACATATATATTGATGAGGGCAACAAAACTAACATATACCGATGAGGGCAACAAAACTAACATATACCGACGAGGGCAACAAAACTAACATATACCGATGAGGGCACCAAAGCTACCATATACCGACGAGGGCAACAAAACTAACATATACCGATGAGGGCAACAAAACTAACATATACCGATGAAGGCAACGTCAACAACAAAACAGAATAAGTTTCATTAATATCTGAGTGTTGTTTGCAGGATAACAACCCGATCAGGACTGTACCGAATAATCCGGGAGAGTTCTGAGAAGTACAACACAGAGCAAGAGTACAAGAAGGTATGGGTATTTTTATAGAGTTGTGACCCTTGCCAGAAACCCATAAATATGGGTTCAAATCCCGGCTTATCGCGTTACTAAACCTACCACCTATAGTGTACCTGTTTTTTTCCAAAGTGGTATGCTTTCCAGATCAGCTTCACTTCGGGGCTTGCTTAATCAAGCGTGGTATAACTGGGCTGCTGTGCAGTGAAAACTTAGACAAATTTACCAACACATGACATATATTACGTGATGGTCGTGGTGTTGGAGACTATTATGTATGTCAGGGAATGAGGGGTGGGTGGAGTCGGGGGTGGGGTGGGGGTGGTGTTGGATTGAGAGGGGTGATGAGGGCAGGACGTATGCTGCTTCGTTTCCTCCACACTGAGCAGTATTCTACCAGTATGACGATGGCTCGTGTAACTTCGACTTTGGACCAGGCAATCCAGTGATTAACACCACAGACATCAATCTACGTACCTGTCAGTCTAACTTGATATAAACGTAAGGATTAACCTTATTCAGATCCGGATTACTACTGGATTCCGTGCATTCACGAGTGACAGATATTTGTGAAATATTAATGGTCAGGTTGAGGACAATGAATCTTTGCTTCAGGTGGAGGACTTCATGAACAGCGGCGATGATGTATCCGAGGCGGGGACGGCGTTTAAGGAAGTTCTGGACAGAACAACAACAAACATCAACTGGCTGAAGAAGAATTACGGAGTGTTTGAGACATGGCTCAAGTCTCAGATATAAACTCGCCTTAAATGTCTTCCAGGTCACGGATCTTGCAGTGTTAACATTAAACGTGAATCGCTATGTGTCGAATAAGTTTGTAACCTCATGGGCGAAAGAAACCCACCTCGCTTTTTTAACATGTCACAAAACAAACTCAGATTTTGGAAATTTAACAATCATATTTGGAAAAATTAATGGATTTACAACATTCTGAATGACGAAAGAGTAAACTACAGATATGAATAATCACTTAGTGTACGATAAGAGATTAAAAAAATAATTTTGGTGACGTTTCTTTCGCCCGTGAATTTATATATGTTACAGTCAATGTGTAGATCATTGAAACTTGCGTGATATTTGCCAGCAATTTGTACATTCCTGATTGATTTAGGCGATTTATAGAATACTTAAATATGTAAGTTTCATTGAGTGACCAAACAATTCGTCCGTGTATTTGAGTGATTGAATGCAAATTATGATGAGGATATTGCAGTTCTTAAGATGTTGAATTTCTTCGCCAAATAGCTCAAAATGATAAGGTTTAAGATATATTGATACCCACTATATGTTCATGTCTTTATTGAAATAAAATGACAAGAAGTCCACTCTTAACCTATGTACATGATGTATGGTACGTTGTTGTCATGTTGCAATTATATGTAGGAGACGGTGGCTTGGAAACGGGTGAGTGAGTGAAGAGCAGTACCCTTGAAGATCCGAGTTAGAATATTGATCTTCAGTAACCCATGCTTGTCGTAAGAGGCGACTAACGGGATCGGGTGGTCAGGCTCGCTGACTTGATTGACACATGTCATCAGTTCCCAATTGCGTAGATCGATGCACATGCTGTTGATCACTGGATTGTCTGGTCCAGACCGCCGCCAATATAGCTGAAAAGGTGCGGCGTAAAACTAAATCTCACTCACTCGTTATATCAGTAGTTCGTTACATGCCTTGACTAAATATAGAACAAATAAAAAAGACCCAAAAAATACAATTCGTTAAATCTTCTATATAGTTATCGGGGCGGTGGGGTAGCCTAGTGGTTAAAGCGTTGGCTCGTCACGCCGAAGACCCGGGTTCGAATCCCCACATGGGTACAATGAGTGAAGCCCATTTCTGGTGTCCCCCGCCGTGATATTGCTGGAATATTGCTAAAAGCGGCGTAAAACCAAACTCAGTCAGTCAGTCTATATAGTTATCCTTAGAAACTAATAGCCGAAGCCACTGAACCCCATTAATCCCAAGATGGTTTTTGTTTTCCGTTAATGCCTGCAATGAGTGGAAATTAAAGCTCATTTTGTTTGCAAAGACTGGGATATGAGACTTTTCCACATAAGGTCCAAGGTAACTGCTTTTCTCAACTATGAGTAAGTGAGTTGGGTTGAACGTCTCCTTTACCCCATCTACACACTGACTGATGCGCAAGATCGTTAGTTTTCTTATACTGGCTTCCGCTACACAGCATGGTGATGACAGAGTGACATCACCATCCCCCAGAGACGTGTGTCCCTCATCACTTACTCATTGGGGATTGCTGGAACAAAGTCCCGGAATTATCTTGTCTGAAATTGTTGCTCGGGTAGTTTGGCTCATTTGAACTACATCCCAAATTAACTAACTAAATTATCTGAGTAGAGGCACCCCCATGGCATGTAATGAGCACAGCCCATCAGCTCTCCCAGAAGAACTACATGCTTACCATCCTATTGACCAGTACTTATGTTGTTGTATAGGTAATTTAATAACCAGAAAGTAAAGGACAAGAGAGAAGGGTATGTTGTAGTTGGTGAATGTTCTTGAATTCATATGATAGAAACAAACAAGCCAAGCTTAGTATATTAGAGTAAAGGTAAAGGTATATTAGAGTAAAGGTAAAGGTATATTGGAGTAAAGGTAAAGGTATATTGGAGTAAAGGTAAAGGTATATTGGGGTAAAGGTAAAGGTATATTGGGGTAAAGGTGAAGGTATATTGGTGTAAAGGTGAAGGTATATTGGGGTAAAGGTGAAGGTATATTAGAGTAAAGGTAAAGGTATATTGGTGTAAAGGTGAAGGTATATTGGGTAAAGGTAAAGGTATATTAGAGTAAAGGTAAAGGTATATTGGAGTAAAGGTAAAGGTATATTGGTGTAAAGGTGAAGGTATATTGGAGTAAAGGTAAAGGTATATTGGTGTAAAGGTGAAGGTATATTGGGGTAAAGGTGAAGGTATATTAGAGTAAAGGTAAAGGTATATTGGTGTAAAGGTGAAGGTATATTGGGGTAAAGGTGAAGGTATATTAGAGTAAAGGTAAAGGTATATTGGTGTAAAGGTGAAGGTATATTGGGGTAAAGGTAAAGGTATATTAGAGTAAAGGTAAAGGTTTATTGCAGTAAAGGCAAAGGTATATTTGAGTAAAGGTGAAATATCAACGAATGAATTTTTGAGTTAAAATAGTGTTGTTACAGACTGCAATCCAGTACCACGATGCAGTTGGCTACTTATTGAAGCTGGACTAAACTAGTTCTACATGGATCAGATTGAACACTGAGGATGAAAGTGACACTAAATTATCACATTAAATATGTAAGCCTATCTATAGATGAACTATCTATACATCTGTATATAAAACTCCAGATTTTATCTGCACAAGATCTTTCGCCGTTCAACGGCTCTTCATGTGTACAATGAAAACTAAGTGACGCATAACGGCAGTAGCTATGACGTCATCATGCGTGTGACGTTACAGTTAGTGACAATAGGTAATATGTAATAGATATATAAGATATATCTTCTTAGGTAGTTGAACATGCTGTTCATAAAGCAGTAAAAGTCCCAAGAGAGACACTTATGAAAACAGAAGAAACAAATACAGAAACGGACATTCTTCCATTTGTTTGTACCTACAATCCTAATAACTGTACAATATGTCCATTATGAAAGCAAATCTTCCAATTTTGTACAAAAGTGATACTATGAAAAAAGGTTTATCAGTCAGTGTAACAAAATGTTAAACACCTCGATGTGGATCTTGTTTAATCATAACTGAAAACTGCAAATTTACATTTTGTGACAGCAAACTATTTACTATCAAAACCAACATGAACTACAGCAGCAAAAATGTTATATATGTTTTATTTGTTTTCTGTTGGGCAAATCCATTAAGCAGATGCAGGTGACAGCATGTAGTTAATCTGTGCACTGGACCATAACATGTTTTCCTTTAAGCTGTAATCTTTATGGGATGTAGTTCTTATGTGAGGACCCTATGGCGTGGTTCGTTGCTCACGATTTTAATCATTGGTTTGTGTGGTCCAGGGTTGATTATTTACAGGAGTAATCTATAAGGAGGATTGTGGAACATTAAATATTCTCACACCCGGCACTTGTTGGTTGCGTCAGGTACTGTACAGTAATGCTACTGTGATATACACATTACTATAGCAGCAGGGAGACTCATAACGCATAGAGGCACAGAGGCATAGGGTATTCAAATGAAACCATAGTGCCCAAAGAGCATAACATTGGATCATGATCTTCACACAGAACATAACGGCACATGTTCTTCACACAGAGCATAACGGCACATGGTCTTCACACAGAGCATAACTGCACATGGTCTTCACACAGAACATAACGGCACATGGTCTTCATACAGAGCATAGCGGAACATGATCTTCATTAACAGCATTGCAACACATAATCTTCAGCCATAGCGGCACATGATATTTCCTCAAAGCATTGCGCACATGATCTGCAAACAAAGCATATCGGCACATGATCTTCACACAGTATGACGGAACATATATATGTTTTAGATAATTGAAACACCTTGAATGTACTCTACTTTCCAACGGGTTTGCCCTTAATTGGTTTGTACAAACCGATTGTGACGCTAAGCTTTTTTCATGTATATTTACTCGATCAAAGGTATTAAAATCTGGCATCAATCAATTTATATATCCGTCAAATTTTTTACAACATTATTGATGTTTTAAAGCATCACATGAAGGTCATAGAAGATACACACCGTGACCTCTATATGAAGGTCATGGAGATACACACTGTGATCTCTATTTGAAGGGCATGGAAGATACACATTGTGACGTTTATATGAAGGTCATGGAAGATACATACTGTAACCTCAAGATGAAGGTCATAGAAGATACACACCGTGGCCTCTATATGAAGGTCATGGAGATACACACTGTGACGTTTATATGAAGGTCATGGAAGATACACACCGTGGCCTCTATATGAAGGTCATGGAAGATACACACCGTGGCCTCTATATGAAGGTCATGGAAGATACACACCGTGGCCTCTATATGAAGGTCATGGAAGATACACACTGTGGCCTCTATATGAAGGTAATGGATGATACACACTGTGGCCTCTATATGAAGGTAATGGAAGATACACACCGTGGCCCCTATATGAAGGTCATGGAAGATACACACCATGGCCTCTATATGAAGGGCATGGAAGATACACACCGTGGCCTCTATATGAAGGCAATGGAAGATACACACCGTGGCCTCTATATGAAGGTCATTGAAGATACACACTGCGGCCTCTATATGAAGGTAATGGATGATACACACTGTGGCCTCTATATGAAGGTAATGGAAGATACAAACTGTGGCCTCTATATGAAGGTAATGGAAGATACACACCGTGACCTCTATATGAAGGTCATGGAAGATACACATTGTGACCTCTATATGAAGGTCATGGAAGATACACACTATGACCTCTATATGAAGGTCATGGAAGATACATACTGCGACCTCTATATGAAGGTCATGGAAGATACACACTATGACCTCTATATGAAGGTAATGGAAGATACAGACGGTGACCTCTATATGGATGTCAATACCGGTGACATGTTAAATAATGTTATAAATATGACGAACCATTCCATAGATGACATCGTGACCGCTTGGTGACGACCTTGATCTCCTTCAACAAATTGACAAAGTAACCGACTTCAGATCAGAAGGTCCGTGCTTCAAATCCCATATTAAGGCAATATAACAGTCCCCGAGGACAAGGTAGCCATACTTACAGGTACATAGAGAGGCCATTGAAGGTACTGTTGTACACATCAGTCAAAACTATATCAACACTGGATAAAGTATGGCAACTCTGTGGATAGGTAGTAAACCGCACATTAAATATGAACATTTGACACGTAAACATTTCCCATTTCCGTGGTGAGAAATTTAACGAGGACAGATACAAACACACCAACACTAATGAGAATTGAAATATAATTTATAGGTAAGATAAATATATTTTTAAACAACTATATATTTTGAACAACTGGCTTGCATCTGAATCCTCGCTGAGCGTGTGTACATTGTGCGGTTTACATAACGCTACGACATGTTAACTTTAAAGTTGATTTATAAATGAATTGTTTATTGTGTGCTAGGCGGAGACCTTTGATGATAATATATACCGCCATAAATGTGGGAATATGGAACGTAACCACGCTTAAGAAATTTAAAAAATTAAACTTAAAAAAATATATATAACTTTTTTAGCCAAGGGTATTGCCGAAACAATAAGTGCAGGTGCGTCAGGTGGTTCATTCGCGTAAAGTGTTGTATTCGTGTAAGGTATTGTATTCTATTATCGTGGGGTCGAATCCAATACCTCTTGTCGCCAGTTTCAACAAAGGACTACATATTTTAGGCCTTCTCCAATTAGGGATTTCCTAATTAGTGACAAGACAAGCTGTGGTACAAATACACGCTGACGACTCATTTACTGCTGGTTATGCGTCTTGTCAAAATTTGTCAGATTGTGTACAAGGCATGTCTAAAAAATATAAAACTGATTTAAAAAACAAAACAAGCCGTTGAAAATATCAATCTGTGAAAAGCACATATTTGGTAAAACGGCAGCTTCCTGAATTCGACTTGACGCAAGATATAAAAATCTGAGACACCGTTAGTTCATGAGATCCTGGAGACGTGTAAGGGAGGTAACTCTGATTGACATGTTTAATACATACTTTCCTACGGGATTGTTTCAGTAATGTGTAATCTCAGACACATTTGACAGAAATGAACATTTATTGAAACATCTCACTAACATTTCAGAAACTGACACTGTAGTAATCTAGACTTCCCAACTATTATGCCTTGCAAGGGTTTAATGAGACACTTGTTTTAGAGTCTATTTGACGGACAAGCAATAAAATATTTATTGAATGTGAAAGTGTTTGCAGGAGTGGTTATATGTAAGTATGTGGCCGGCCAGCTTAACGAACACGTGGTCAGTCGTTACGGCAAAGATTAGTCCAGATATTACTGATATAACATAGACAGGTGACGGTGATTGGGAAGATGCTTTTTCAGCTTTCAGTCTAGTTTTCGACACGACGTCACAATGCCTCCATAATTCCATCATTCGCTACACCTCTAATACAAACAATGAGTTATGATCACACGGTACTTGATGGCAGGTACCCACATCTCCCTTCAAGTGTTCGTAACATATCATACTGACGCATCGTACTGACGATATCTCTGTTTGTCCAACACTCGATGGTCCAGCAAAGTAAACAGATTTTACGACCATCTGTTGAAAAGATGGACTGCAATAGGATAAGTTAAAGAAAATATTTGGTTCACATTTTAATAGTTCGTTAATCATCAAACCTCGTTGCTTTCCGAAAAATTATAAAGTAAATTAAATTACACTGTGCTAAGTGGGGCGGGGGGAAGCCTAGTGGTTAAAGCGTTGGCTCGTCACGCCGAAGACCCGGGTTCGAATCCCCACATGGGTACAATGTGTGAAGCCCATTTCTTGTGTCCCCCGCCATGATGTTGCTGGAATATTGCTAAAAGGGGCGTAAAACCAAACTCAGTCAGTCAGTCAGACACTGTGCTAAGTAGATGTGAACGTATTTAAAAGTACACGTACATTGTACGTCGTTGTGACGTATTTAATTGCCAATCAGGGTCCCGTTTTACAAAGCTATCTTTAGCGCTAAAGTAACCGTAACTCCCATACCTTAACATACACTTAAGGTTGGGCGCATATAGGCCTTTTAAGGCCCAAGTTCGCCCTAAAACCTTATCTACCTACCTACCATACACTTAAGGTAGTCTTAGCGATACGGTTGTTTTGTACAACATCATCCTGGTATCATGTCATCTTGGACTGAATTGATGACAAATTTTTATTCCGGAAAGCATCCTCTTCTTTTTGCTCAGAATAAACTGTTCTGTTAAGTATTTCACGTGGTTATACGTCCAGGTCTAAACATGTTTACGGACTGAACTGTTACGGTCGAACAATAGGAAAGACTCGTGTACCTACTTGACATTCGTTACGTATATTTATAAATAAAGTTACGTTTCCACATGAATTTCGATGTATGAGGCTATAAAAGTATAAGCGACAGTACTGTATTAACTAGGCGTTGTTTCATTGTCTTGTTTTGTTTCCTGTACAACAAAGTGACAAAGCAGTAAGTGAGTGAGTGAGTTTAGGTTTACGCCGCACTCAGCAATATTTCAGCGATACGGTCTGTAAATAAGCGAGTCTGGACCAGACAATCCAGTGAGCAACAGCATGATCATCGATCTGCGCAATTTGGATACGATGACATGTGTCAACCAGGTCAGCGAGCCTCACCGCCCAATCCCGTCAGTCGCCTGAAGTCGTTACTGAAGATCAATTCTTACCCGGATCTTCACGGGTCGACAAAGCATAACGACGTATAACGTTTATGAAGTCGACATATAACGTTTGTGAAGACAGTATAGTTTTAAACTTCGACGGGATAGGAATCTGCACCATCGTGATGTGCAGTTCTTCACGGTACCACTTGTCCCACAAGACTGTTGTCAACATCTAATCAGCTAGTTCTGTGTGTAGTTTTGATGTAAATACTGCTTAAAGTTCGCTGTAAGTGGTATATGCGTTATACCGGTGCCTGTGAATCTGAGCCTATACTATAGTCTGTTTGCAGTGAAAACGTACCGATGAATTTCACTTTAAACTAAAGCGTAAATCAAATAAAGTGAAATTAAGATTGCGAATCCTCATAATTTTACCTTGCCAATTGGACATATAAATCTCAGAATTTTGTTTAACTTAGAATAAAGGTTGTTTAAGAAACGATCATAGTTTCAAATCGCTATTATTGGTTTGTATTACAAGGGGATATGCACATTAAATGAAACACCGACAACAAGTAGGGCTGGTCTAAATTAACGCTCACCACGTGTGCACGTGCTTTTGTTTCACTGTTCCAACTACTGCGCTTACCCCCTTGTAATACAAATCAATAATAGCAATTTGAATCTATGATCGTTTGTTAAACAACTTTTATCCCAAGTTGAATACAATTCTGAGATTTAAATGTTCAATTGGCAAGGTAAAATTATGAGGATTCGCAATCTTAATTTCACTTTATTTGATTTACTTTTTTGTTTAAAGTGAAATTCATCGGTACGTTTTCACTGCAAACAGACTATAAGATATAGATACTGTCGTGTGAATCACCTCTTTATACACATAATTCTATTATAACATTCGGATGTATGTCTGTGCATATGTAGTGCGTATTTCGACTCCACGGGGTAAATTAAGAAATGAAAGAAATTTGCATGGCTAATTGAACGAAATGAAAAATATACGAACGAACGAATGATAAAAAAACGACTTGTTAGGAAGCTGTCCTTATTACGGTTAATAACATGCATCTTCATAATGCCTAAAATGTTGCAATATTAAATCCTTAGGTTTTATAGTGCACAGCGGATTGTTAGTTGGGTTAGTCGTGACCACGTTTTTACAACCATGCCCTCTACGACTGAAGTACCCATAATTCACAGCCGATATATTCATACGCACCCTCGTCCTAGTTCTATACCACTGTTCAGTGACGGGGGACACGCTGGGGAGGTTCTGTAGGAGTTAGTCAAGGTGCTGGACAACATGGCGTTACAGAACACCTCTCTGGACTCGGAGAGCAATTCCTCAGACCGTGGAGGGTCCGGCTGCTACGTGTCCGCGGTCCATGGCTTCATACTGCTGCTCCTGGCTGTTGCCATTTCTGTCGGAGTGGGGATCCTTGTACACTTCTCCGGGGGTGGGGAGTTAGTGTGTGAGTGTGGTCAGTCACAGACCCCTGCCCAGAGTCCGGAGGCCCTCAGGCAGATGTGTATTGACCTGGTCAAGGATGGCACTGGAGAGGAAATCTGTAAGTGTTTCTTTATAAATACACGTACATTCCTCTGGTTAGGTTAAGCTTGGTTCTTTGGTAGATTTGGTGTTTGTCACCAAACTCAGCTATATTTCAGCTATATGGCGGCGATCTGTAAATAATCGAGACAATACCAGACAATCCAGTGATCATCACTTAAGTTAAGCACAACTATCTTGTCTTAATATATAAAAGCGATGCAAAACCGAATTCACTCACTCACTTAAACTCAGATTCGCTTTGATAATGTTTCTCATTGTATATGTCAAATACCTGTTATCGTTGGCGTCACAAGAGTGGTAGACATGTCCGCCTATCCGAGCGTGCTTCAGGTAGCCTTATAGTGAAAATAGTCGCTCGCCACGCCGATTCTCCACCCGGGTAAAATGTGTGAAGACCCTGGTGTACCAATGTTGCTGAGATGTTGCTAAAAGCGGCGTAAAACCATACTCACTAACTGAGATTAACCTTACACCCTTACACCCAATACTGTCCAGTGTAGCGGTATACCAAACTCACCAGCTGATCAATATTGACAGGTGACGTGTGTCCAGCTGACCCAGAGCGGACGACAAAGACTCCAGCTCCCGAGGTCACAACTACAGCTACGACGATAGCACCACCAGCAACAACAACAGAGGCGCCTAGAGACTATCGTCTACCCATCACCGTGCGGCCCTATCTGTACAGTCTGTCTCTCCAGCCCAACATCTACGGCGGGGACAATGGAGTTTTTGATTTCAATGGCACCGTCTCCATTGCAACAGTTGCTGAAGAGGCTGCAACAACCATCACCCTGCACGCCCATCCTACACTCAACATCGACAAGGCCACCATACAGGTCGGAATCTGAACTTACGTACATTAGAGAGCCAATGGTATTGTAGACTAGCGCTTAGAAACAAACAAGTCCTTTCATATTGAAAAGGGGGGCAGTGGGGTAGCCTAGTGGTTAAAGCGTTGGCTCGTCACGCCAAAGACCCGGGTTCGAATCCCCACATGGGTACAATGTGTGAAGCCCATTTCTGGTGTCCCCCGCCGTGATTTTGCTGGAATATTGCTAAAAGGGGCGTAAAACCAAACTCAGTCAGTCAGAAAAGGTGAGAAGGAAGATTGAGCCTGAACCTGGGGAAATTGACTTGCTTTATTTAGGGCTTTAATGCTTCTGAAAGGGCTGGGCGGAAGGGAAAATAATCTGGTTCAGGGACTGTGAGACTGACCAATATTTTTGTGACAGTATGGTGAAAAATAAAGTTACCAGTACCCTAATGGCGATTTGGCCCTGTGATACCCGAGAGGCGCTATTTCCGGTACTAAGCTGGTTCTCGGCTCCCTTTGCGCGCGCCAGTTTGTGTTATGAGAGACGGGGCCCAGTTTACTCCCGGTACTCGATTTCCGGTGACAAGCGCGTATTCAAGAACCAGTTCTGGTTCCAAATTGCGCGACCGCCAAATAGGAGTTTACTAGACCGGACCAAGTAAACAACCATGCTTGACTGTCACAGCTGTTGACAGTCGTAATAGTTGGCTGATGGTTAGATCGGAAATTTGTTATTCCTGCAATAATGAACGATTCCTTACTGTCAACTGACAACCATGGGTCCATTCGAATAGGAATGAAACGTTGCTTGTCATCGGAAGTACTAAGGTCTCAGGATGCGCTATAAACTGGATAAATAGACCTGTTTCATATTTAACTCTATGTGTTTGAACTGTGTGCCGAAAATATGAACAGGACAGGCTGTTTTCAGGGCTTGGCGGAAGATGGCAAATACAGAGTGTAAAGTTGCCGTTCTTTGATGGTGTAATCCAGGCGATCCGAATCATGATATTATACGAAAGCTGATATAACCAGACATATGTATCATATGGTCACATTTGGGCACAATCAAAAGGGCAGATTGTTACAACCAATCTTATGTGTGCCAAAATATATCTGTATCCTACAGGCGAGGGGTAGAGCACAATCCAAAATGCCACACTGTTATGACACATGTCACGTGTGCCCTTAGTCACATTTGAAATTGTAACATCACTTTGCCAACAGGTGCGAGACATCAACTCAACAGCCAGCCTAACTGTACCAGACACATCGTATGAATCTCTGCGGCATTTCTTTGTCCTGCGTCTGTCCACGCCTCTGACCATTGGTCGCCATTATGAGATATCAATGTCCTTCAGCGGCCCCTTGTCTCAAGATGGAGTCGGTCTGTACCTCAGCGTGTATCAGGAGGATGGCAGGAACGTGTAAGTATTGGTTCTAGTCAGTGTCAGGGCAACCATTTGCAACTGAAGAAAACCGCTAACAATACGAGCTCGTATTTCTGCAGGATGGTTTACTCTACACAATATTCTGAACATGGGAGATATCATGAAAATAATTGTAAGATAGGAGATGAGACGAGAAGAGACGACACCAAAACAAATTCATATTTGAAATATGAAAATGAGAATAAAAACAGAAACTATAAACACAAGAAAATATCACCCTTACTATCTTAACCAAAGGTGAAACACATAAGAAATTGGACATTATCACAGTGACGGCAAAAATGGCATTTACCAGTATGTATAAATGTAATATTTACAAGATATATCGCAGTTATAGTAAACTTTAGTAGAAGGGCACGATACGAATTGTATACGAATTGTATTGTAGGATACGAATCGTACATAGCGGACTGTTACAAAGGATTACATCTTACAATCGTTTAAAAATTACTGTAAGTTGTATGCTTCTCTCGAGGGTAATACGGTCTGATGTACACCTCTTTGTAGCAGTGTCACCCGAGCCGGTAGGCGAGCATCTGGTAATATATAATAATAAATGGCCTCTCGACTGGATTATTTAAATGATAAGCAAATAGTTAGGATAGAAATGGTTAATTATGTCTAAGCTGAGTATGCAAACGATGCAATGTATAAAATAGTTTAAATAAAGCAGTGAAAGTCGGTATAATTAATGTGTACATAGTGAACTCAAAAACAGCTAATCGAACGGCCGTTTTCAAACTCCGTGCACTGCATGCGTTATATTATGACGTCATATGACTGTTAGCGATACAGCTTCTCGGCGGAGATTTTGGCGGTTACCGGGCAGCGGGTAAAATTATTTCCAGTTTTCACCCTACTGGAAGGTGAGGTGAGGTGAAATTGGGTTTTAACGTCGTGCTTGAGAATATTTCGCTCATATGACGACGTGCATGCGTGTGTATGTGTATGTGCGGCTGCTTGTACTAGCCCAGACTTAAGCTGGTTTTATAGTGCTAGCCCACTGAGATACCATGCCGCAGTAAAGCATGAATACCCCACTCAGACACATTATACTGACTCCGAGCTGACCCATCCTTGTTGTACCCATTAATGTCGAGCGCCAGGCAGGGACCAACAAGTACCATATTTTAACGTCTTTTGGTATGACGCGGTCGGGGATCGAACCCACGACCTTCCGCACTCCGGGCGGACGCTCTAACCACTACACCACGGAGGCGGTTCCTTCCTAAAGCGACATTGACCAATGAAATCTAAGTATTTTACATGAAGGTAAGATAATGGCTGGCATTATGATTTCCTCACTGTCATTTCGTATCTTACGTGGCTCTCTGACAAACTGCTGATCATAGATGTCGCATACAGTTCAACCTCACGCAGAATGACTTATTGTTCTTCGTTTCAGAGAAAGAATGTGTATGTCATTTAATCAGTATCCTAAACGGTATTCTATATCTCTCAAAACAACATCATTCGTATACGAACTAAAAGTTGACCCCTCCTGGATGGATGAATAGTGTTAATAGACCATCTACTTTACAAGCAGTCAAGACAGTGACTGACTGACTGACTAAGAATGGTTTTACTCCGTTTTTTGCAATATTCCATCAATATCACGGCGAGGGACACCAGAAATGGGCTTTTTATAAATTGTACCCATGTTGGGAATCGAACCCGGGCCTACGGCGTGATGAGCGAACGCTTTAACCACTCGGCTACCCAACAGCCCTCCAAGACACTGAACTTAATGCAATGGTAAATCTAGTATAGGAATGTTACACTGACTGACTGAGTGTGGTTTTACGCCGCTTTTAGCAATATTCCAGCAACATCAGAGCGGGGGACACCAGAAATGGGCTTCACACATTGTACCAATATAGGGATTCGAACCCGGGTCTTTGGCGTGACGAGCCAACGCTTTAACCACTAGGCTACCCCACCGCCCCAGGAATGTTACAGACTTTGCAGAGTTTGAGTACAGTTATCAATACCCTGTCATCCCAGGACAGGGGCTCCAAAAGTTGACTCCATACGGTAACGACTTCGGGATCTGATCCGAGTCTTCGGCATACACTGAGTGAGTGAGTATGGTTTTATTCCGCTTTTAGCAATATTTCAACAATATCACGGCGGAGGGCCTTCGGCATACAGCACTGAATATGTGATAAGTAAGTTTCCATGACTGTCCCAGGAAAGAATGGAGCAGTCTAACTTGTTGGATCTCCTGCGGCAGATTAGCCCGGGTTCAATATCTCATAAAGGATAAAATATTTTAAGTCAGCAATGTTACTGATGACTGTTCAAAGTATAAGGTGTTTTTTTCAGTTACCTAGCAACGACCCAGTTTGAGGCTCCTGATGCACGTAAAGCCTTCCCCTGCTTTGATGAACCTGCGCTGAGAGCAGAGTTTGACATCACCCTCGTGAGACAAGATGGCGGAGAAAGGAACTACACTTCACTCGCCAACACTCCACGGAAATCATCCACTTCTCTACAGTACGTCACCTCTAAATTTCATAATAGAGGAAGACATCGAGTGATGCCAAAAGGCTGAAAGGTTTATTGCAACACGTGACCTAATTCCCTTTGTTCCACACAGCTATGGTCATTTATGATTTATGACGACACCATAAGCCTCCTTTTGGTATTATGCAGGTCCTGGAACCATCGCTTGATAGCTACCTTTAACCGTAAATGTTAATTATTGTAAAACCGTTCATTGATAGGGACACTGATTGCCTTGTCGTCTAAGACACCGAAGTTAGTTGGCATGGTTTCTTCTTCCATGCCCGAGTGAACAAAAATATCTAATAAATCCAAGATTGATTTGGCCAGCCCAGATTCATTCGCCTCTAGGCCTAAACCCAAGCAAAGGTTGATCTGGTCAGTCTAGATTGTCTCATCTGTAGGCCTGATTTGACCGGTCCAGGTAGCCTCTGCCCAAGGCCTAGGCCTGTTACTCGTGTCTCAAAAGACGAGGATATCCAAGATTAGTTCAGTGCTTAACACTAGGAAGTTTTCATGTGTCAGATGCTATACTGGTGTTGTAGGAACGGCATGGTTGCCGACGTGTTTGAGCGGACTGTGATGATGCCCACCTACCTCTTGGCGTTCATAGTGTGCGACTACGAGTACGTGGAGGATATCGTGAGCAACGTCCAGGTGTGTCCCAGTGACTTCTTCTCTATACTTGAGTATCTGCCATTATCCTGTATGTTTTAGTCTCCATTCTGTTATGACGAATACCTTGAGGAGCTGGTGATAGTACATAGAAATGGACTGCATTGGCGCTTAGTAAGCACTTAAAGAAATATTTCTACATGATTAGAGTTTTAAAATACGATAGGAAAAATGATTCGCATGATATATTACTGCTGACAAGTATGTTATGCATATTATGTATGTGAGAAATCTATGGGATATCTGAAAATCTATATATTAGCCCTTTTAGACATGCATTGACAACGTTTTAAGAGGTGAGGTCTTGTTTATTTATCAAGACTTCTGAACCCAATCTATAGCCCAATCGATTAATTTTTAAGCAGAATTACCCAGCACATTTTACAAACTGTTACGGGAATGGTTGAACAGACATAAGCAAATGAAAAAATTCATACAAATTTCAAATTTCAATTTCCTTCTTTTCCTTAGTTTAGTTAGGTAACGTCCGAAACGAAGCTATACTATCCAATACGTCGATCGATGATCATAAAACCAATCACTGGATTGTCTCGTCCAAACCGATAATTTACTATTAAATAGCCGAAATATCGCTAAGTACGGCATTTAAACATAAAGCACATTGGACCATATTCTAAAAGTGAGTGAGTGAGTTTAGTTTTACGCCACACTCAGCAATATTCCAGCTATATGGCGGCGGTCTGCACATAATAGAGTCTGGACCAGACAATCCAGTGATCAACAGCATGATCTACGCAATTGGGAACCGATGCCATGTCTCAACCAAGTCAGCAAGCCTGACCACCCGATCCCGTTAGTCGCCTCTTACGACAAGCATGGATTACTGAAGGTTCATTCTAACACGGACCTTCACGGGTCTCTAATACCCTAAGATGAAAGTAATATTGTTTTCAGCAACATTTTGAATTTTTTTCATCAGTATCGAACATGGGCGATGCCCAAGAAACTTGAGTACACGGAAACTGCACAGCGTCACGGGATCGCCATCTTCAAGCGGTTTACGGATTACTTTACGCCAGCATATGTCTTCTATAAATTAGGTATGCCCAGCCTTAATATTGTCACTTCTAAATTATATTCGCAATGCAGTAGATTGAATGTAAACAATTCTTCGTCAGAGTATCGTCTTTCCAAATCGACATTAGAAATGTACTGGAGCCCGATACACAAAGCGTTCACAACATACGATATTCGTAAGCCTATGATAAAATCTATGCATCCAATTGTTCGTAACGCTACAATATTCGTAAGCCTATGATAAAATCTATGCATCCGATTGTTCGTAACGCTACAATATTCGTAAGCCTATGATAAAATCTATGCATCCGATTGTTAGTAACGCTACGATGTTCGTAAGCCTATGATAAAATCTATGCATCCGATTGTCCGTAACGCTACAATATTCGTAAGCCTATGATAAAATCTATGCATCCGATTGTTCGTAACGCTACGAAGGCTTTGTGGATCGAGACCCTGATTGATTACAATTCTGCATTTGGACATTCAAAAACAGCGTTTGTTGTTTTACAAAAACGTCCTCACCACAACGCCGGCAACTACAACATCTGCTCTGACGGCTACATGTGCTTCGACTGATTTCAGACAACATCGCCATCCCCGACTTCAACGCTGGAGCCATGGAGAACTGGGGTCTCATCACCTACAGGGAGACACTGCTGTATGAACCCGGGGTCTCCTCGGCCTCCGATGAGGACTGGATAGCAGAGGTCATCTCTCATGAGATAGCTCACCAGGTACTCTTGTCTGTCCCTCCGACTATAGCTGATAAATTAAAACAGGAATCCGACTCAAGTTTAGAAGGGTTTGGAATGTTTCTCAGCTCTCATAAAATTAAGCATTGTAATGAGGGTCCATTTCAATTATTTTTATTTTGTAAATTTAGATTGTTATCTAAATATTAGTATACATGTATATAAGACGACTGTATTTTATAATAGTTCAGGGCGAAAGTGTGCCTTATTACACTTAACATGATAGTAGAGCGAACTGTATTTCTTTTCTAAGATGCCAAATTTAATACTTTCTAAGTATAATTACCAATAAATTAAGGCAGAAAATAAACGACGGTGTCGGTGACCTCAATTGAGAATCCTCGCACAGGGCTAATTGACGCGCTGTTCTATTGACGTGTCTGCCCCCTACGTTATTAAATTAAATATCTTCTCTAAATTATTTTAATTACATACATACATACTGTATATGATTTACGTAAACAACATGGGACAATATGAAAGTCGCATTTCTACTACCAACGTAAGTTTAGATCAGTGACATCCAGATGAAGCTGAGTGGTCAAGCGACATTCCACGATTGCATTGCGGGAATGTAAACATTGCGAACGTTACCGTGTTGCTGAAAACTTGTGAGTCGAACTGACACATTTTAACCGTCGTAAAACATAAAGGTAATGTTTCCACCAGTGATGTTAGCTGCGTGAAGCAACTGCAAACCAAGAAACGGGATGCAACGGAGTAGTTTACTGTAGGACACTGTACGAGGCGATGACAAATGACATGCATCGTGACGTCGCTGACATTGTGACGTAATGCAAAATTGTTCGATTACGAGGTGGGCAGACTATAATGGGGCAGTGACGACAATACATTGTGACGTAATGCAAAATGTGCACATTATCGTCTGATAAAGTAAGGTCGACGCCTTTGATCTTTCACCGAAGCATCTTAGAATGGTTCATAAATGAGACAGATCTTTGACGTGAAAACTTTGGTCAAACCAAGGAGCACGGGTACCCAAACAGGAATTTAGGGCAGCTTAGGATTTGAACCCACAGACGTTGGTTTCTGGCACGCCTTGGGTACACAACTCTGTAAAGCGAATGCGGCCCCTTAAATAAATCTTACGACAATCGTAGCGCTAAGGTGATCGTCGCTCCCATACTTTAATATAGACTTACGACTGCCTAGCGCTAAGGTGATCGTTGCTCGCATACTTTAATATAGACTTACGACAATCGTAGCACTGAGGTGATCGTCGCTCGCATACTTAACATAGACTTCCGACAATCGTAGCGCTAAGGTGATCGTTGCTCCCATACTTAACATAGACTTCCGACAATCGTAGCGCAAGGTGATCGTCGCTCCTATACTTTAATATAGACTTACGACAGCCTAGCGCTAAGGTGATCATCGCTCGCATACTTAACATAGACTCCTGACAATCGTAGCGCTAAGGTGATCGTCGCTCGCATACTTATAGACTTCCGACAATCGTAGCGCGAAGGTGATCGTCGCTCCTATACTTTAATATAGACTTACGACAATCGTAGAGCTAAGGTGATCGTCTCTCCTATACTTTAATATAGACTTACGACAATCGTAGCGCTGAGGTGATCGTCGCTCCCATACTTAACATAGACTTACGACAGCCTAGTGCTAAGGTGATCGTCGCTCGCATACTTAACATAGACTTCCGACAATCGTAGCGCTAAGGTGATCGTCGTTCCCATACTAAAACATAGACTTCCTACAATCGTAGCGCTGAGGTGATCGTCGCTCCCATACATAACATAGACTTACGACAGCCTAGCGGTAAGGTGATCGTCGCTCCATACTTTAACATAGACTTACGACAATCGTAGCACTAAGGTGATCGTCGCTCCCATACATAACATAGACTTACGACAGCCTAGCGCTAAGGTGATCGTTGCTCGCATACTTTTTCATAGACTAACGACAATCGTAGCACTAAGGTGATCGTCACTCCATACTTTAACATAGACTTACGGCAACCGTAGCGCTAAGGTGATCGTCGCTCCGGTACTTTAACATAGACTTACAACAGTCGTAGCGCTACGATCACTTTGTGGGGTGGTTTTCTAACAAACCCAGAAAGAAGATGTCATACCAAATATATGAAAAAATCTTTTCATTTTCTGGTTGTATTTTTCAGTGGTTCGGTAACTTGGTGTCTCCCCTGTGGTGGAACTGGCTGTGGCTGAACGAGGCCTTCGCTTCCTTCTGGGACTACCACGTTGTGGGGGAGATCTACCCTACCTGGAGGACGGTAACTTATGCAAACACACGCGAACACTTACACTTGAGTGCTGCACACAGAATCATAAGCGCAAGCACGCACCAACAGAGCAGTATTCATACGCACACACAGAAACGTCTACGTACGTGCACACACACAAGCAGTGAGGGAATGTGTGAGTTTAGTTTCCCGCCGCTTTAGAAATATTTCACCAGTCGCGGTGGGTGGACATAAAAAATGGGTTTCACACTTTGTACCCATGTGGGGAATCAAACCCTAGTCTTCGGCCTGACGAGCAAACGCTTCAACGACAGGGCTACCCCAACGCCCCGCACATACACGTACGCACAAACGCAAAGATAAGCACGTACACGAACACGCACGCGTGCACAGTACCATTCACGCTCGAACACACACGCGGAGAAATGAACGCACAAACACGCACAGGAACAATCAATCTCTGAGACACAAGCAGTCATTTAGACACACACATCACGCACACACTCACACACACACACAGATCATACTCGACTACACAGTATACTTCGACAATTTCTAGTTGACCGGAGCTGTTGTCTGCAAGGTATATAAGGAATTAAGTATTATATAACCCATACAGCGGTTAATGTCTTCTAATGGTGATATCGGTGTTTCAGCTTGACTTGCACGTACCTACCAGTATTCACGGTGCCATGTCTGTGGACAGTCTAAGGACGTCACACCCTCTCACAGCTGACGTCATGACCCCTGGGGAGATCAGCGGTATATTTGATGACATCACATACTCTAAGGTGGGGCTATAGAAGTACCATTGTAAACGTTCGTGATGGAAGCAAAGTTGCCCTGGATGATATCCCCGTGTGTCTGTGTTTGTTGGTGTGTGTTTCTGTGGGGCAGTCTGTGAGAGTGTGTGTATGTGTGGCTATGTGTGTGAGACTGTGCGTATGTGTGTGAGATTGTGTGTGTAAGTGAGAGTGTATGTGAGTGAGAGTGAGCGAGTGAGTTTAGTTTTACGCCGCTTTTAGCAGAATTCCAGCAAACTCAAAGCGGGGTGAGCGAGAGAGTGAGTGAGAGTGTATATGTGTGATAGTGTGCGTGAGAATGTATGTGAGAGAGTGTATGTGATTGAATGTTTGTGAGTGTCTGTAAGAATGTGTGGAAGGATGTGTTTTGTCAAATGTAAGTGCCATGGATCGTCCCTTAGATTATGGAAGGCTGGTACTGAGTGATGAGCAACTCACTCACTCACTCCCTCACTCACTCACTCACTCACCCACTCACTCACTCACTCACTCACTCACTCATACACTACTGCTTTACTCTGTATCCTTGAACTGACTGCGGTATTGTTCTGTTGCAGGGTTCTGCTATAGTCCGGATGATGCACCTCGTCATGGGACAAAATCTCTTCATCAGTGGTCTTAACGTAGGATATATTGTTGTCGGTGTATAGCCCAGTGTAAAATGACATCACTGATCCAGAGAGAAGGAGATAGACAATACTCTCATAGCTGTTGGTTTTATAGAGTATTAAGAGCTTGGATATGTCGACATTTAAACCTTTGCTTTACAGCATAAGAAATAACTCTGAGAAAATCTGATAATGTTGATCTCTTAATCAGTTTCATAATAATTTAACAAAGTCTAACTTGACCATCAGAGAGAAACAGTTTCCCCAATTACAGAGTATAAACCTAACTATACTGTGTTGTAGAGTGGAATGGTTTGATCAGATAGGCTCCATTATTTGTGTTCGTAGCGTTATCTGGAAGCACAAAAGTTTGGGAACGCAGAACATCAGGACTTATGGGATGCTCTTACTGAGGTAAGATGTATGCTCTTTTCTTATGCTGGTTTTCGTCGATGATTCGGGTTTTACCCCCAGTCACCCGAAAAGCAGGAATTCTTTCTGCACAGTCTTCGACTTTTAAGAACCTACGACTGGATGTTCCAATGCCATATGTGTTGGGCAATTTAGTTTGTGTCAAGTTTCACTCAGCGCCACGCCCGTACTCATTTTCACCACAATGAGAGCCTTTTTACACCCAACCCACCTCAGGCTTTCATCTTACATCATGGATTGCCGTGATATTATTTAAAAATACTGTTAAACCTCCCTTGATGGTAAAACCTGACGTTCGGATATATCTAAACCTAAAAAGTCATTTGAATATATGACTGGACGATCAAAGTTGACAAAGTGATTTTTCTCTCTTCTAAAATACTCTAGTTCGTACAGTTCCTATGTCATATACTGCCTGATATTTACAGGAAGCCACTGGTAGTGTTCTGAAACATGGCATTGTGTACCGTCTCAATGTAATCACATCGGAACATCGCAAAATGCTCCACTTGATGCAGTTCCTATGTTCAATACTAATTGTTTACAGGAATCCATGGCGAGTGGACTCGGTCTGGACATGACCGAGGTGATGGACCCCTGGGTGACCCAGATGAACTTCCCTGTGGTCAAGGTTTCCGTCACAGCAACTAAAGTCACATTCACTCAACAACGATTCCTCGTCTCGGGTGCAGAAGATGCCAGTCAAGATGTGGGCACATACGGGTATGTGTGTGATGGCAGTTTGAGTCCTGGTAACATACTGAAGTCTGGCACCAATCCGGTTTTCGGTATCATAACCATATTAAGGTGCTTGAAAGATAAATTATTGAAAAATGTGTTTAACGTGATGAAGATGGATGGGAAAGGATTAGGAATTGTAGTAAGTAGTAGTTGTGTTGTAAACTATACTGTTTAAGAATATTTGTTGCAGCTACAAGTGGACGATTCCAATCACGTTCACCGTCAGCAACAACATTAACTTCACCGAAGAATACGCTTACGACAACATCCACTACATGAATGTTAATGGAGATACCCGTGAGTATATAAACATAGCACGGCTAGATGTTCCATGTGGGTTAAAGTAGGGGAGGCACGCGATGGAAACTGTCTGGCAAAGAATAGTATGTGCAGGCAATAGTCGCCGAAACCTTGTAAACCCAAGGTCCATAACACAACTGTCATATCCGTATTAGGTACATCACCATGGATTACTCAGTAAGCTTTGTTATATACTAGCCATCATCAAAGATGGGTGTATTTTGTTTTGCCTGGCAGTTTCATGTAAATGTGTTCTTGAAGGGATTGGTCATTAGTATTAATAGGGCCGACGACCGAGCAGACCATCGATCTATCCATCAATCGTCCGTCCATCTGTCCTATTGTCTGCCCGTCCGTCAGTCTGTCCAACCCTCCATCCAATTGTCTGTCCATCCATCCATCAATCGCCCATCATCATCCGTCATCCATCCATTCATCCTTCCCTCCCTCCATTATCCATCCCTCAATCCATCCTTCCATCCACCATCCATTAATCCGTGCACCCATCACCCACCCACCCACCCATCCATCCATCCACCTAACTGACCATCCATCCATCCAACATCCATCCATCCACCCACCCATCCATCCATCCATCCATCCATCCATCCATCCATCCATCCATCCATCCTTCCACCTAGCTGACCATCAATCCATCCATCCAACTATCCATCCATCCATCCATCCAAAACCCACATACCAACCCACCTGCCCATCCATCCATCCATCCATCAACCCAACCACCCACCCACCCATCCATCCTTCCATAAACCCACCCACCCACCCAATCCATCCATCTACCCACCCACCCATCCATCCACCGATCCACCTATCCATCCACCTATCCACCCACCCATCCACCAATCCATCCATCCCATCCATCCATCCATCCATCATCCATCCACCCTCCTATTCATCCATCTAACCATCATCCATCACCCACCCACCTACCCATCCATCCATCCACCCAGCTAACCATCCATCCATCCATCCAACCGACAACCCACCCACCCATTCATCCATCAAACCATCCATCCATCACCCACCCACCCACCCATCCATCGACCCAGCTAACTATCCATCCATCCATCCACCCACCTAAAATCCATCCATCCATCCATCCATCCACCCACCCACCCATCCATCAATCCATCCATGCATCCACCCATCCATCCACCACCCATGCATCCACCCAGCTAACTATCCATCCATCCATCCAACCAACCTTCGACCCACCCACCCATCCACACCCACCCACCCACCCATCCATCCACCCACCCACTCATCCATCCACCCATCCATCCACCCACCCATCCACCCATCCATCCATCCATCCACCCATCCATCCATCCATCCATCGACCCAGCTAACTATCCATCTATCCACCCACCCATCCATCCATCCACCCATCCATCCATCCATCCATCCATCCATCCATCCATCTACCCACCCATCCATCCACCCACCAATCCATCCATCCACCCACTCATCCACCCATCCATCCATCCACCGATCCACCTATCCATCCACCCATCCACCCAACCACCCATCCACCTATCCATCCATCCACCCATCCATCCATCTACCCATCCACCCAGCCATCCATCAATCCATCCATCCATCCATCAATCCATCCACCCATCCACCCATCCATCCATCCACCCATCCACCTATCCTTCTATCCATCCATCCATCCATCCATCCACCCACCCACCCACCCACCCATCCATCCACCCATCCATCCATCCATCTCTGTAGGCTGTATATGACACATATGTCATGTTCTAGTGGAGGTTGGTGTAACTGTCCCATCTGGCGGCTGGATCATCGTCAACATACAGGAGTGTGGCTTCTACCGCGTCAACTACGAAGATGAGATCTGGGAAAACATAATAAACTTCTTGTCAACCAACCACGAGGTAAACTTGATTAAGAATCTGTCTTTACCGAAGTACTGAATGCTTGGCTGTAGTCTTTCACCTACATCTGGAATACCATAAGGCAGGCATTTCTGTTCAATTGTTGCAGTTTTTAAACGTTGTATACCACCATCCAACACGACACAGTCAAGGAAAAACTTCATTCCTTGATCCATGGCTCTTTTGTTAATAAACGTGGTGAACACAGATATCCTTAAGTAACTATCGTCAATGGTTTGGGACAGTTTGTAATATATGAAAGCAAAATATTAGAGAAAAAGGTTTATTGAGAAAACAGATGTGAAATGCTGGAATCATTGCCGGAGACATCTATGTAAAAAGATAGGCAGTAAAACATTGAGACAAGAAGTAAGTATCCCCATGGTTACCACTGCCAGCCTGTTTTTATGCATATTAATCAGAAATTAAGAACATGGAATTTAACGAAGAAGTTTAACTTAACGATCATGTACATCAATGATCTAATATCGTTCAACAACCATACAATGGCCAATTCCCTGCCCACCTGAACTTGGAATAAAAGAGACAAGTGAGACGGCCTCATGTGTTTTATATTTGGATCTGAGATTCAGAGCGACAAACTCCCCACAAGGATGTATTAGTAAAGGGATGGTTTCAACTTTCAACAGTCAACTTTCCTTCATGCAATATTTCAACATTTCAGTGTTTTGGTGTTTACATTTGACAACTTTTGAGTATAATCGAGCATGTTCCTTTCATGAAAGAGCGTCATACCACTCTTGCTCAGAACTTGTTCAATCAAGGTTACAACATTCAAGGCTTCAGTAAAGCTTACGAATGGTCGACATTTCAAAAATTGATGTATCTGTGTCAATACTGATGTCCGATGCAATTCTCTATTTTGCCAGGTAACAACCGATTAGTCTTTGCATTGATATAGGACGGTGCCACCGGTGGGGCGGGGCACACTCAAATTTTCGAGAACACTTGCTTCCATCAGAATTGTACAATCGTCTCTGCCTTCAGCAGTTTTCGTATGTACGTGGAAAGAATTTTGTCGATTTTGTTAAAATAATAGAAGGCGGAACTTTCCACTTACCGTTTGAATATACATGTATGCAGGCAGTCAATTCCGTTTGATTTGTTAAACTTTTGAATACTTTGGTACAGTGAGATTGGAATACAGATGTAACGATAAGGGACAATATGAAGAGCTTGGTTATCACTCTCTCATATGTTTTATTATTATTACTAATACTCTCTCATATACATTATTATTCCTAATACTCTCTCACATGTATTATTATTTTTCCAAATACTCTCTCATATGTATTATTATTATTATTACTAATACTCTCTCATATGCATTATTATTATTACTAATACTCTCTCATATGTATTATTATTATTACTAATACTCTCTCATATGCATTATTATTATTCCTAATACTCTCTCATATGTATTATTATATTACTAATACTCTCTCATATGTATTATTATTATTACTAATACTCTCTCATATGCATTATTATTATTACTAACACACTCTCATATGTATTATTATTATTACTAACACTCTCTCATATGTATTATTATTATTACTAATACCCTCTCATATGCATTATTATTACTAATATTCTCCCATATGCATTATTATTATTACTAATATTCTCTCATATGCATTATTATTACTAATATTCTCTCATATGTATTATTATTACTAATACTCTCTCATATGCATTATTATTATTACTAATACTCTCTCATATGTATTTTTATTATTACTAACACTCTCTCATATGTATTATTATTATTACTAACACACTCTCATATGTATTATTATTATTACTAATACTCTCTCATATGTATTATTATTATTACTAATACTCTCTCATATGTATTATTATTATTACTAATACTCTCTCATATGTATTATTATTATTACTAATACTCTCTCATATGTATTATTTTTATTACTAATACTCTCTCATATGTATTATTATTATTACTAATACTCTCTCATATGTATTATTATTACTAATATTCTCTCATATGTAATATTATTATTACTAATACTCTCTCATATGTATTATTACTAATCTTCTCTCATATGTATTATTATTATTACTAATATTCTCTCATATGCATTATTATTATTACTAATACTCTCATATGTATTATTATTATTACTAATCTTCTCTCATATGTATTATTATTATTACTAATATTCTCTCATATGCATTATTATTATTACTAATACTCTCTCATATGTATTATTATTATTACTAATACTCTCTCATATGTATTATTATTATTACTAATATTCTCTCATATGCATTATTATTATTACTAATACTCTCTCATATGTATTATTATTATTACTAATCTTCTCTCATATGTATTATTATTATTACTAATATTCTCTCATATGTATTATTATTATTACTAATATTCTCTCATATGTATTATTATTATTACTAATATTCTCTCATATGTATTATTATTATTACTAATATTCTCTCATATGTATTATTATTATTACTAATATTCTCTCATATGTATTATTATTATTACTAATCTTCTCTCATATGTATTATTATTACTGATATTCTCTCATATGCATTATTATTATTACTAATACTCTCTCATATGTATTATTTTCCTAGATGATACATCCGATAAATCGTGCGCAGATCATTAACGATGCTTGGAACTTGGCAAAGTGAGTACACTCTCCCACTGGTCATCCCGTGGTAACTAAATGCTGTTGTTATAAGCTTTTATTCGCCATTCTGGTCTCAAGTTGTCATTACAGCGTAAATACTGCTGTATTACTAAATGCTGTTGTTATAAGCTTTTATTCGCCATTCTGGTCTCAAGTTGTCATTACAGCGTAAATACTGCTGTATTAGGATGTATCAGGGTTCAGTTCGCCGTTCATCTGTCATGTTGTCATGGTATGCTAAATGCTGCAGCAATACAACGTTCTAATGTCAACACCTTAATGAAAGCTGGGTGATCACTAACTAATACACAGAAAAGGAATGAGAGTGTCAGACATTGTGACAAGCCAACAGATTTTGTGACATATCGTCATGTTAACACACAGTGTACATAACAATACACTCTTCTACAGGGCAGGCCTGCTGGATCAGTCTATCGCCCTAAAGACAGTCAACTACCTCAGTAAGGATCTGGATTATGCCCCTTGGCGAGCCTTCAGCCGGGAACTTGGCTACGTGGAAAACATGTTAGAACGGACTCCATTGTATGGAATGTTTCAGGTAGAGAATTTCACATTTAAGATACATTTCATTCACGCTTTAAGAGATCGTGCATGTGACTTTACATTACAAACAATCGTCTGGACATGTCTGGCCACCAACCTACTGGGACAAGTTACCGCAGCTGCAAAACTGAGTCTCAGGTGAGTGAGTGAGTGAGTATGGTTTTACGCCGCTTTTTAGCAATATTCCAGCAATATCACGGCGGAGGACACCAGAAATGGGCTTCACATATTGTACCCATGTGGGGGAATCGAACCCGGGCCTTCGTCGTGACGAGCGGACGCTTTAACCACTAGGCCACCCCACCGCCCCCTCAGTAAGTGAGTGAGTGAGTGAGTGAGTGTGTGTGTGTGTGAGAGAGAGAGAGAGAGAGAGAGAGAGAGAGAGTGTGTGTGTGTGTGTGTGTGTGTGTGTGTGTGTGTGTGTGTGTGTGTGTGTGTGTGTGTGTGTTTTTGTCCACTACTTAATTTATGCATTATTTTACCTTTCATGGGAAGCCCGGAGATTAAAATGTCAACTTTGACAGATCGCACACAGTCAGCTATAATTTGCATTCAGTCAAATGCGCTATATCAATACCAAATACATCGTATACATTTCACAGTCTGTCTGTCTGTCTGTCTGTCTGTCTGTCTGTCTGTTGTTTGTTTGTTTTGTTTTAAACATATTTTATTCATGAGAAAAGGATTGGGTACAAGTTATACAACTTAGAACACCCTCTCCGTAGTATTTACATAGTATTATTTACATTCATTCAAGATGGACAGAGAAGAACAGAGCAGAAATATGGGGAAAAGGGGAACAATTGCAACAATTAAGAAAATCGTTTTGAATGACAAATATATGTTTGAACAATTTTAAATATGTTTTGATTTATGTGAACAGTCAGATCTGCATTGCCATGTAATAGTAACTCATAGGTTATATCCACATTTGTAATACTGCGTAAATTAGTCATCATGGTAGTTCTCTGTACTGTATATAATTGACAGTCAAATAAGTAATGATAAGAATTTTCACAAACATTTCGACAAGAACAACTTGTCTGTCTGTGCGTGTGTATACATTTCATTTGTGTTACAGGTGTTCATGAACAAAACAGTTGCCACTCCGTATTCTTCCCTTGGAACCAACATCACAGAGGACATGCCGCCAGTAGACAAGTGAGTGTCTTTACATGAGGTGCTACATAAAGAAGTTGTACCTCTTGTGTCGCGTGGTCGTGTGCATAGAGTCCAGGTCACAAATCAGGCACCGCCTCCGTGCTGTAGTGGTTAGAGCGTCCGCCCGGAGAGCGGAAGGTCGTGGGTTTGATGCCCGACCGCGTCATACCAAAAGACGTTAAAATATGGTACTTGTTGGTCCCTGCCTGGCGCTCGGCATTAATGGGGACAACAAGGACTGGTCAGCTCGGAGTCAGTATAATGTGTCTGAGTGGGGTATTCATGCTTCACTGCGGCATGGTATCTCAGTGGGCTAGCACTATAAAACCAGCTTAAGTCTGGGCTAGTACAAGCAGCCGCACATATTCATACACACGCATGCACGTCGTCACATGAGCGAAATATTCTCAAGCACGACGTTAAACCCAAATTCACCTCACCTCACCTCACAAATCAGGTGAAGTTAAGCAACGGGCTAGGAGAGTCCTTCATTGGGTGACAGTGTTTGGGTGATGGGTGACCGAGTTTCTGGGACTTCAGTCCTGCCCCACAACGAAGCACATGTGATACATGTGGTCTCACCTTATGCAAGTGAGTTTGTTCAAAACTGCCTCTGTTCACCCAGCAGAAAATGGGTACCAGGGGGGATAGTCATGTCACTTTAACCCTCTAGCGCCTAACAGGCAGCTTGGGTTATACCGGAGTTATAATAATCAGATTGTTCGGGCGCTTCGAGCATACATTGTGCATGGAGCAATGTGCATGATGAATGAACTACTTTTATTATTATTATTTGTTTATTTATTTGGCAGGTATATGACAGCGGTCAGTAAATTATAGAGTCTGTCCTAAACAATCTAAATGAATGATTTACTTCATGAACATCGATCTATGCAATTACCAATCGATGGCATGCAACAATCAAGTCACAGTCTGACCACCCGATTCCGTTAGTCGCCTCTTACAACAAGCATGGGTTACTGAAGACTAATTCTAACCCGAGTCTTCAAAGGGGAGCCAGGCGTGTTTTTTTAAACCCATACCTTTTATGGCAGATATTAAGCAATAGCATGTTGCGTTTTTTGATAATGGGCTGGAGATGTAGGACCCTGGATAACCGAAGATGGATCTAATGTTGCAGGATTGAGATTGCTCAGATGGTGTCCATGGCCTGTAACTATGACTACCAAGAGTGTGTGGACACAGCTGTGAACAATATGGACAACTGGATGGCCGGCCAGCCCAACAGGTAGGTGGAACAAGGCTGACCAACAAACGAGAAATCAAATAAGTGAATACGTATTGCAGATTTGAAGAGTAATAGAAATTAATAGCGGGGAACATTTCTGTGTATTGAAATATACCTGCTCTGCTTGGTCATTGCAAATCTGTCCATTACCTTTCAGTAATGGAGACTTTCCCTGAGAAAAGTCACCATTACTAACATTGAATATTACTCATTACTAAAATAGAACAAACATAACTTGACACTTTATTGTTTATTTTGATTTTTTCCCCAGAAATTACAGTTAGTTGCCATTCACACTAACAGTAACAGAAATGTTTTTTTACTGTCATCAGACTTATCTATGTTAGTACTAGAACAGGCGGTAGAACTGGCTGACCCAGGAACTGAAGCTTGACCTTGCAGAAGAGAACTCAACTTCCTTTTTTGAGCCGAGTTGGTACGCTTATAGCCCCTCACTGTGCTTGACCGGTGCCCAGTTACCTCGTAAATCAATTGCTCAGTCAACACCAGACTCATACAAACGAGTGGCGGCTGTGGCGCGTAGTGAGTGGTTGGTCCTGTGTCCGGTCAATCTAGCTCTTGGGAAATGTCAGACACCGTAGCAGCTAGACTGTGGCGGCCAACTGTTTGACTGCTGTACCATACGTCGCCCACTGGATTTCGTAATGGTTGCAAGTAGAAGGGGTCACGCTGTTTTGGGGGGTGGTCTGTGGGTTAAATATTTTTCAAAGAGTTCAACCAAACACCTTTCTGGCTTGTCAACGTTCTCATAGGCCCGCACAGATTTTGCTTTACACTTCCGATTCTTAAGGCCCCACTGATTGGACTTAGATAAGACGTCCTCAGTATAGATCAGAACACGTCCGTGTTGATCAGACGATAACGAGAACTGAGAAGTCCTTCCGACGTGCAAATTTCGGTGTTCCTGGCCATCCCTGAGGGCGAAATTAATCCCCACCAAGTAGAAGATAGTGTCCAATAATTGCTTGTGGTTATCACTCCCAAGAACACATTTTGCCCATAGAACTTCCTCTTCCTCTGGCGTGATCACTTCGGCTTGAACCGGTGGCTTACTGGATGGATCCTTAGCGCGACGTTTCATCATGTTATCCAGGGTGTTCTTTATTTGCAAAAAGGCGTCATCAGTTAGGAACTTGTAGGCCTTGCCAATGCTGTCCATTTGTAACTGGAGACAGATCACAAGTCCATATAACGTGTCGGACGGGAAATCAGTGCCGTCCGTCTTCTTCACCTCACAGACAAATCTGGAAATAGTATAGTTCAGTTCGTCAACGCTCATTTCCTCCAGTGGTACCATAATGAAGCTTAGGTTCCTGGAAGTGTCCGCTGCTAGTTTGTTTCTGTTACTTTGCCATTCTCTGAATAAAGTTTTGAAAGGTCAAAAGTCAAATGATAAGATATAGAGTATATGATATCATAAACTAATATATACTAAACTTCAACTTTAAATACTCCAAAGTGTTCGAAACTGACCACAGACAATAAACTGAAACGGTCATAAATGTTAAACACAATCGCTAACAGAATTAACAAAACGAATCTGTACATGTTATTGTAACATTTCTGAAGCTTTCTGAAAATCTCTAAGAGACGAGTAAGATGAAACATAATAATTATTATAACACAATCACTTATAAATGCCAGTTCCATTTCATGTTCGGAGAAAGCATACAAAACAAAACCAGTACAAATGTCAAAGTTTACCGTGCGCGTCACTTTAAATACTTTTCAAAAACATTCTAGAATTATCATTTTAAAGAAAACATCCGAAATGAACGTGTACTTACTTTTTGGTTTGTAGATCATTCAGTATGTTGTCAGGAACGGGCTCGTGAAAACCAGCTCGTGAAAATGACTGCCACTGTGGGTAACCGACGTCTCCGACGCGTTCCCTCCCTTCTTGTCAGTTTCATACGTAGTTTAATAGGTTGATTGCTTCTCAGCGACTATACAAGATGCCACTAACTCGTCTTCCGACTGAGTGATTTTGTCACCAAAACCCTCCAAAACGTCACCAACAATAACTTTATCAGCAGTTTCATGTGAAGATATATCCGAATAATGCGTTGTGTATGTTGACTGGGTCAAAAACATTCCATCATCATCTGAGCTATCGATGTCCATCCTTACGACTGTCTTCTGGCACGTGGTTCAAGTAAACGAGACATACGGGTTTTCGCGCACAAAATCAAGTGCATTTTATACCAATTTTTATAATAATTGATGTTCCATATTTCTTGTTCATTTTCCATAAATGCCAACCCGATGTTGTAGCAAATATATATGACAAACGTGTCATAGCTACGCAGTATCGGAATGGTTGTTTCGTAAACTTGGGTTATTCGGGGTAAGATGTCATGTTGTATGAGCTTGGAGCAAGTCCCTGTGGCATGGGGATCAACGCTAGATAAGTGACCATATTGATAAAACATTAAAAGGTTGGCTCAAATACCGGTGAGAATAGAGACTAATTTCAATTATTTCCTCTACAGTTTGTCAAATGTTTCAATCTGGCTTAAAACTCTTTATTTCTACACATTGGTAGGCATTCCTTGTTTGCTTGAGGCACCCTTAGGACAACATCTATTCTGATCTAGACTCACAGGGTCATAGATTGGACGTCAGCAAGCGTGAACGTCTACCCTCTTGTTGACGTAACAGCGTCAGACGTTATCAATGTCGATGTAGAAGGTGATAATGTTGTCGGAGACATCTCCTAATGTAGACAACAGTTAGATTTGCAGGTTCCAATGCAGAAAGTCAGTTGTAGCTGTATCACGAGGGGTATCTGGTTTTAAGCATCCTGCGTTTGATGCAGGTATACGAACCGACATGGGGACACAGCAAACCACATGTGCTCCTATTGATATTGCTACAATACATATGTCTTGCCGACCCTTTAATCCGTCATTGTAATGGGATTAAAACAAACTGAAAATTGATGGAAAAAAGCGATCAACTTCATCAACAATATCCAGGTATTTGTTTCGTCGAGATGTATGTATACGTTAGCACCCTCCTCAAAGGTGATATGGATTTCAACGCTCGAGCCGTAAGGGGGGTGCTAACCTACTTATACCACGTGGTGCCGAATGGACTTTCTCCATTGCTTGTTGCACGTGCGTTTCCTGCACCGCCAAGGTTGTTATCCACATATCAACCTCTGCACGTGCAGATAGAAGGTTGATACACAGAAAATCAACCTGCCAGAACAATGGACATAACATACCCTAGTGGTATAAAAGGGGTTAATTCCTCCCAGGCGGAATTAAAGTTTTATCAAGATCTCATGGACCAATCAGATCTAACCAGTCAGACATGAAGGTAAGATGGCCGTGTGTAACATCTGATATATTCTGATATGTGACTCCGGAAGTATTTATTTGAAGCATGTATCCGGACCTGGGCAGTATGTACTATTGTACAGCCGTGTATACCATCTTGTATATTCTGACATGTTAACCCGGAACTACTTATTTGCAGCATGTATCCGGACCTGCGCAGTACGTACTATTGCACAGCCGTGAGACACGGAGGACTGGAACACTGGCAGTTTGTATATGAGAAATACCACACGGAGCAGAGTAGCTCTGAGAAGAGTAGACTGAGACGAGCCTTGTCTTGCACCACAGAAACCTGGCTGCTGCAGAGGTTGGTCTTAAACAAGGAGTTATTTTGTGGGGGCTTCGATTTGGGGTTTCAGTTAATTTCGTGACAATTAGAGTATTTATTCACATAATTCGATTATTTTCTCGAAAATCCGAAAGGATTATCGACGAATCGAGCATAAATCGAAATTTCCAGTTTTTAAATAAATTTGAAACAAGAAGAATATATTTCAAATCATAATATGTAATCGAATTTCTTTTTTAAAAAATACATTTATGCTACAAAAGTGGCACCATTAGTCAGCTGGACTGCCATAGCTCTTATTCAACAGGACTGCCTTAGCTCTTATTCAACAGGACTGTCACGGCTCTTATTCAACAGGACTGTCACAGCTCTTATTCAACAGGACTGCCTTAGCTCATATTCAACAGGGCTGTCACAGCTCTTATTCATAACATACTAACTAATAGAAAAACCCATTGAATGACATTTAGAAGTTATATACATCGATTCTTTAAAACTGAGGAGCACTATATTTCAGAGCATATGCTTATTGTATCGAAATGACACATGTAATGCGCCCATCCACTACCTCAAGAGCTCACATTTCCATATCCCTACACTAATCTTAGCGTACATTTACCTGAAGATATAGAGGATATATCTCCCGAACGGAACTATTACCTATATTATATACACTAAAATATCTTACAAGTAACAACTTTCTATAAAATGTTTTTCTTCAGCTCGAACTATAAATGACATGTTTCCCCTCGTGGATAATTTCAATGCTGAGTCCAACTCAGGTCTAGATTGATTGGACAGGTCCAGGTATCTCAGCTCAAGTCTGAAATTAGGCATTGTTCTTGGGTCCATTTAAATTATGTTTGTCTCAGAATTATATAAATGTTTCTCAAAGAACAAAGAACTCGATCTATACTTTAATAGAAGACTTCATTTCTGAGACTAAATGTCGGTCTGCACTTGCCCAGGTTGCTAGACATGTCGGTCAACGCCAGCGAGGTTCGGCCCCAGGACGCTCGGACCACCATCACTTATGTGGCGAACAGCCCGTGGGGGCGTGACCTAGCCTGGAACTTCGTCACATACAACTATGCCCGTCTCACTGAAGTGTAAGTCTGCATCATGTATAAGGACCCGTGAAGATCCGGGTTAGAATTGTTCTTCAGTAACCCATGCGTGTCGTAAGAGGCGACTAACGGGATCGGGTGGTCAGGCTCGCTGACTTGGTTGACACAGGTCATCGTATCCCAATTGCGTACATCGATGCTCATGACAGGATTGTCAGGACCAGACTCGAACATTTCATCGATCTAAGCAATTGAATATAGAGAATCTCACCCAAGTGTCTACTGATATCAATTATATCAACGAGTGTTGATATAATTGATATCAGTAGACACGAGGGTGAGATTCTGTTTATCATCAAAAGTCATTCATTATTAGTTTTCAATGAAAAACATACATCTCTCAACACTGTACTACCATCATCAAGTTGATGACGTCATAGCATTGTCAGGGAATTGTACAAAATCTACTGTCAAAACGATATCACATGATCTCACACAAGCGATGTCTCCTGTGGAGGACAGTTTTGGATGATAAATGATGACACGTGTGGACCAAATCAGCGAAGCTGATTCAACCTTGTTCAACCTGGTTCATGGTTAATACCGTCGGTTCTGTTTCCTCTGTTCACCTTTGTCAAGTAACTTATGTTTCCAAGTAAAAATCGTCTCCAGCATATCGAGACTCATCCGAGAAATCAGCTTCAGTTATGTTCCGTTTGCTCTGTTCACGTGATCATGTAAAATATTTCACAGAATTCAGTCCGTTTCCGGCGTGGGGAGACTTCTGCGTGAAATCAGCGTCAAATTCAACACTGAACAAGAATACAAAAAGGTACAGCTAGGGTTTTGTTTCGGATGTTTGTTTGTTTTTCTTTTTATCATCTTATTAGCTATTGAGTCCTCATTGTTAACGTCACTGTGGTAGCGCCGTCCATGTCGGTGGTGACAGTAGTGAGTGAGTGAGTTTAGTTTTACGCCGCTTATAGCAATACTCCAGCAATATCACGGCGTACACCAGAAATAGGCTTCACACATTGTACATATGGAGAATCGAACCCGGGTCTCCGGTATGACAAGCGAACGCTTTAACCACAAGGCTAACCCCACCCCCACACACCCCACCCCACACCCCACACCCCTGCTCACAGTAGTGGTTAAAGTGGAGACTATAATGCGCCATAAAACATCAACAATAAGTTACATTGCCAAATTAAACGTTTCCATCTGTTGACGGTTTTGGATCAGAAAACTTATAATGATAATAAAACTTAAAATAATATCATTTTTGTGTAGCCTTGCGGTTAAAGCAAAGCCCATTTCTGTTGTCACCTGCCTTGAGTTTGCTGCAGCATTGGTAAAAGCCGTATTAAACTCAACCCATTTACGCACTGATGGGATGATCGTGTCACCGTATTTCGATGGCGTGGAACGTTGCTTATAATATCAATCACGGGTTTGTCGGATCAAGACATGTAGTTATTTATCTTGCCTCACACATAAATGTCGTTTTCTGATTGGCTGGGCGCTCTTCTATTATTTTCAATGTACCCAGCGTACAAGCGAGTAACATTTTCTATGTACCCCCTGGTAATGCCGAACTCATTTGGTACTTCGTAGTAGTAATGCTTTATCTCGAATAACATTGAATCACGTGTGATGTACGGAAATTACCGATGTTTTGCGAATGCAAATCGATAGAAGGGAGATAACTCTAAATTAGTTTTTCTTGTCTTGTCGTCTGGTACTCCATACTATGATCCGATACCCGTGCTTCAAACAGTTCTAAATTACCATTGAGGTGTTCTGTAAGATAAATAGGTTGTTCACTGGTCCCTGAGGGTGAGGGTCCCTGAACATAAAGAAACATCGAGGGTACATCAACCCATGGGCCCCGAGGGACCAGTGAACAACTTGTAATGTCTCGAACTTATTAACTCGCTCAATTATCTCGTTATTCCAGGTTCAAGACTTCATGAACAGCGATGAGGATTTCTCTGGAGCTGGTTCAGCTCTCACTCAGGTACTGGACTCAACCAGGGCCAACATTGAGTGGCTCAGAAAGAACTACGACACCTTCCAGAACTGGCTGCAGATTCAGACAAGGAACTGAAACTCTCTTCATCCGACGATAGCCACTTATCATGAAGGCTGTTATCACGGAATGGATGGGAACGAAATTTGAGATCTTCGTGAACTGGATCGAAAATTTGACAAGGAACTAAAATTGTCTTAATCCAAAGATATGGACATGTATCACTTATGGTGTGATCATGGATCTACACGGAATGGGTGGGAACGAACTTTGATATCGTAAATCAGACAATTAGCTAAAACTCTCTTAATGCATATACAACGGACTCCCTCCATACCGACATCCCTCTAATCGGCCATTCCCTGTAAACTGACATATTTATTTGGTCCCGAATTTGTCCCTACATAATATCATATAAGAAATTCCCTCTAATCCCACATGCCTCTATTCCGAATTCTGACACCCTGGACCCAAAACATGTTTTTAGTGCAAATTGACTCTCTCTAAAACGACATAGTGTGTATTTAGCAATCAACATGCTTGTACGGGAGGTGACCTGCCAAGGCGTAATAGGATTAACTGTTAATTACTCACAAACTTTTAAAATGCGAATCAAACAGCTAATTACTTGTTCATTGGATTCACAAAGTGGTGAAATCGCATGTTAAGTTCTGGTAATGAGTTTATACAAACTCTCTCTAAACCGACCTCACTCTAAACCGACATTTTTCACCGGTCCCAAAGGGATGTCGGTTTAGTGGGAGTCCACTGTATATATAGTTCATGTATATATTTAAGACTTGTGTTACGTATCAATATTGACGGCGGCGAGTTTACTTATGTAGGAGAAAGGGGTTCTAGTGTTGTTGATTACTTTCTTGCATCTGTTAGGCATTTTGAGTTTGTAGAAATGCTAAATGTTGGTGATCGGTTAGACTCTGACCATTTCCCGCTTGAGTTATCTTGCAGGTTTCCTTTAAGCAGTCATGCTAAGCGTACTGTAGATTGTGATGACCATGACGCTGACTTTAGATTTGTCTGGGATGAATCGAAGATAGACTTATTTACTGCATCATTGAGACAGATGCTGCATATCAATGATAATTCTTTATTAACTAAACTTGAAAATTCCCATGAAGGGGGCATTGCAGATTTTGTACATTGTCTTCTTCATTCAGCTTCAAGTATGAAAAGACAAATGAAGCATTTTGATCCTGGAACTAGTAAACCTAAATTGAATAAAGCTTGTAGACAAGCGAGGACAGAAAGCAGGAAAGCCCTAAGAAAATTTAGACGATGTCGCAGTGAATATAATCGTAAAGGTTACTGCAGACTTAGAAACATTTATAAATCTTCTTGCAGAAAGTTCAAATATGATATCCAATCGTCAAGACTTGAGCGACTTAATAACTCCCTAAACAGCCCGAAACTATTTTGGAAAAATATACGTTCTCTGCAAAGTCGCTCTACCCCCATAGTAAATATATCGCAAACGGAATGGTTATGTCATTTTAAGAATCTCTTTTCCAAGAAAGATATTGCTTACGATGCTGACAATTGGTTATCAGATTGTGACAGCGATGTGCTAAGTGAAGAGTTTAATGATGTTGATAGGCTTGTGCTGGAATCACCTATTACGGAATATGATATACTGGATGCTGTGTCTCGTCTTAAAGTTGGTAAATCTGCTGGAGTTGATGGTGTTATTTCAGAAATGCTGAAATACTCATTACCTGACATTATGCCCTTCCTGGTTAAAATGTTCAATCGAGTATTTGATACAGGTCGTTTTCCTTCCGTATGGGCGCAATCTATTATTATCCCGTTATATAAAAACGGAAATGCACAAAATCCTGACAATTATAGGGGTATTTCTCTGACTAGTATTCTAGGTAAAACTTTTACATCTATTATCAACAGTAGGTTAACACAATGGTCGAATATGAGATTTAATACCGGAACCTCAAGCTGGATTTAGAAAGGACTACTCAACATTTGATCATATATTTACCTTGTATGCTATTATTGAGAGATATTTATCCTTTAGCAAGCGAAAGTTGTATGTAGCTTTGTAGATTTCAAAAAGGCGTTTGATTCTGTAGATAGAGGTAGAATGTGGAAATGCTTAAGAAATATAGGTTTGAGAGGTAAAATGTATGGTATCATAAGATCGATGTATTCCAATGTAAAGTCATGTGTCCGCTGTGGCTATGGTGTAAGTGACTTTTTCGATTGTCCTGTCGGTCTGCGTCAAGGATGTATCTTAAGTCCTTTACTTTTCTCCTTTTTCATTAACGAATTATATTTAGATATCATGAAGTCTGGTAAACATGGCATCCAACTTTCTCCCGATGTAATCGAACTTTTTATGTTATTATTTGCTGATGATGTCATTCTTATGTCCAGCTCTGTAATTGGTCTTCAAAATCAAATAGATATACTCTCAGCATATACAGATAAATGGCAGTTGAGTGTGAATCTAGATAAAACAAACATCGTTATATTCCGTAGAGGTGGTCCTTTGTCGGCTAGAGAGAAATGGTTTTTTAAAGATAAACGCATGAATGTTGTGAATGATTATAAATATCTTGGCATATTGTTTACCCATACGCTGAATCTGAATAAGCCCGTACTTAACCTGGCGAGGAGAGCAAAGAAAGCTCTTTTACAACTTCACTCTGTTGTTCCTATGCTCGGTCTTGTTCCACCGACTATTTACTTCAAATTGTTTGACTCTCAGATACAACCGATTTTACTGTATGGATCTGAAATATGGGGTTTTAAAGAGTATCATACAATAGAAAAAATTCATTTGCTTGCCTGTAAAAAGTTTCTAAATGTTGGTTTGTCAACACCAAATGTTATGGTTTATGGTGAATGTGGGAGGTTCCCATTGTACATATCATCTTATTGTCGTTGTTTAAAATATTGGTGTAAAATAATTAATATGCCTGAACACCGTTTACCTAAAAAAGCTTACAATATACTTTTACCTCTTGATTATCCTGGAAAGAATAACTGGACATCCCATATTCGCACCTTACTATTTAGATATGGTTTTGGTTGTATTTGGTTATCACAGACAGTTGACAATGCACTAGTTTATTAAACAGTTTCGCATGCGGGCTATTGATATGTTTAAGCAGGAATGGCATTCAACTATTAATGAAAGTTCTAGATATGATTCATATCGTCAATTTAAGTCGTTGCTTGAGCCAGAGTGTTATCTTGCTCACCTTCAATACAGAAATATTCGCAATGCTTTTATACGGTTTAGATTAGGCCTTAATGATTTATTAATTAACCGTGGAAGATATGTTTCTATGGAAAAAAACCAAAGATTATGTCCATTCTGTTTCATTATTGAAGACGAATTCCATTTTATGTTTATTTGTCCTGTATATGAAAATCTAAGAAATAAGTATCTACCGCAACTGTCTTTATCTCAAATCAACGTGAATCTATTGTCTTTCTTACTTTCCTGCAAAGAACCTCCAAAACAACACAAAGATGCTCTATTTATCTACAATGCATTTTTGTTAAGAAAAGAATTGATTAGTTAGAAAATTGATTATATATGCCATTGTCAAGATGTATCTCTTTTGTATATGGGCCTATGGCCTTTCATACAATAAAGAACTGAACTGAATTGAATTGAATTGAATTGAATTGAATTGACTGCCTAAGTCAGATCTTCAAAACCTGGATCCAAGTTAGACAATGAACGAACTCTCTGAATCCAGCGTCGTGTACACTCACATTGAGGGCCGTTATCAAGGATCTACAGCGAGAACTGGACCCTTAGTCAGACAAAATTTCTTAATAACACTCATCCTCGATTATCAAGGGTATTCTATTTCCATTTTTATCTGTTGAGTACCCTCAGCCATTAGCTCCTGTTTCGTCCACTGTTACATTGTAATACATTCCTGATTATTACGTTAGTGTTAAAACACAATGTTAACAAATGTTACTGAACATTACTGACTGAGACGACACTACAAAGACACTTCCAGTCAAATTGTAATACATTCCTGATTATTACGTTAGTGTTAAAACACAATGTTAACAAATGTTACTGAACATTACTGACTGAGACGAAACTACAAAGACACTTCCAGTCAAGTTACTGTTATTTCACCATGGTGTAACATATCTTATGTTTGGTATGACACTTTCTAGTAAAGCAGATTCTATTACTTTTGGGGGTGGGTGGGGGTGGGGGTGGTCGGGGGATAGGGTGGAGTGGCATCCAGGATTCGAACCCACGTGCACATTTTCGAGTATTCGAAAATAACTTGAAGAAGGGGGAAAATAACGAAGAAGAAAACAAATCTTATTCAAGAAATCTAAAAATAAAGACCATACAATGGAAACTGCGAGAAAATTATTAAAAGTTACAAGAAAGGTGTCGGCATTTCGAGAAATCATTGAAATAGCGGGAGTATTGCCGAAATTGTGAGTATTTTTAGATAAAGGTAAAATAATGTGAAATTAATCAAAATGAGCAAAATATAATCGAACTAGCGTGCTAAAATGTTCGAACTTTCGGGATTTTTGTTATTGAAATAACGAGAAATTCGGCTTAAAAAAACTTTTTTAGCACCATTAAGATTTTTTACCATTTCATTGATCTACCGTCAGTCATGACGTGCAGGCAACACTAATTCGCAGAGCACGTGAACGGAATTTTTATGGTAGCATTTTAAACAAACGCGCTGTTTTTGAAATCAGAGTAGTTAGTGGTAAAACTAGAAAAAATTGACAACCTACCCTTTCGTCGTTTGTTTTCAACCTAGTGTCTTCAAACTGGAGCACGAAGATGTTTAATTCTCGAAGCTCGCTAACCCATCATTGATAGATCATGTTTTGTACATATATAAATTGTTCAAAGTTTTTTCAGTAAACATCAACGTCTAATTAAACTTCATGAAGTTTTGTGTTCTTGATAACATGTTCAGCGGGTAAAACTCTCTACAAACTGCAAAGACTCAAAATGAACTGTCAACAACTATTTCCTGACGGTATGTGCACGACAGTTTCAATCAACTTATACCGCACTCATGTCATCCAGTCTCCTTGACCGGCAACTCAAGTTTGACAGGTGGCTGGCTGGTTGGGTTGTTGTTTAACGCCGCACTCGGCAGTATTTCCAGCTATATACTGGCTGTCTGAAATAATCGAGTCTGGACCAGACAATCT